AATTAGTAAATTAAATAATAAAAACAAATATAAAACATCAAATAAGACGATACAACTAATAGAAATATTTCAAATGAAGATATTAATACAATATACGAAATAACTGATAATGTTTTAGGTTATATAAAAAAAACATATAAAATTTTATATTACATATAATATATATAGGAAAAGGTAGTTTTGGCATAGTAAAAGAATCTTATTTAAAAAAAAATCCTAATAAAATATTTGCAATAAAAAAAATAAGTAAAGTAAAATAAAAAGATGATCTAATGTGGTTATAAAGAGAAATAGATATTTTTAAACAATTAGATCATCCAAACATTGCGAAACTATACGAATCTTATGAAGATAATAAAAACTTATATTTAGTTATGGAAGTTAATATAATTTAATAAATATAATTACTTTTTAAATATTCTTTTTTTTTTTTAACTTATATTAAATTTTAATTTTATAAAATAAACAAAAAAAATAAGATAAAAAAAACAAATTATAATCCTTTTTTTTTTTTTTTAGTTAAGTAAAAAAAACAGAAAAAAATATAAAAAACAAAACTAAAAATAATATATATATATATATAAACAAAAAAATAGATATGTACTACAGAATAATTATTATAAAGGGTCATAAACAATGAAAATAGTCGTCTTTCAGAATAATAATCAAAAAATATACTTTTTTAAATATTCCAAGCAGTAAAATACTTACACGAGCTCGGAATAGTTCACCGTGATTTAAAACCAGAGAATTTTCTTTTTAGTAAATATAACGGAGAAATAAAAATGATTGACTTTGGATTATCAAAGCAGTATAAAAAATAAAACAGTAACTAAGCTGCATCTGATTTATAAACAATAGTTGGGACTGCAAATTATATAGCACCTGAAGTATTGACTGGAGAATATGATAAAAGGTAAAACAAAAATCCTATATATATATATAAATAAATAATATTGATTAAGATGCGATATATGGAGTTTAGGAATAATAGCATTCGCAATGTTATGCGGTGAATTTCCTTTTTAAGGAAAAAATGAAAAAGAGACATTAGCGAAAATATGTAGAGGATAATATATATTTAAGCCCACAATAAAACTATCTAAATAAATAAAAGACTTAATAAGTTAAATGATATGTGTAGATACTAAAAGACGAATTTCGATATCTGCAGCTTTAAAGCACCCTTGGTTTCAGTTATATGACTAAGGAAATATAGATAAATAAATTGAAATAAAATACATTTATTTAATAATAAATTATCCCAGAAATTTTAATAAAATATAGCGCTTATGTATTCATTTGTTATAGAAAATATAAGAAAATAATCTACATATATAATAAATAACTCGTATATTTAGAATTATAGACGAAAATAATTTCGGGTTTATAACAATTAAGTAATTTAATGCAGCAATAAAATAATTAGGATTTAATTATGAAGAAAAATAAACTCTTTAATTAATTTAAGATTTAAATAATTGTAGTTTTATAAAGAAAGGAGGTTAAAATAATGCTTTTATAGAATATTCTTAATTTTTGGAATTTACATTTGATATTAATTGTTTATTAGATTAAAAAAATTAAGAACTATTATTTTAATATTTAGATTACGATAATAAAGGATATATTAAAAAATAGAATATTGTTAATATTTTACTTAGAGAGCATATTTTTATTGATAATAAATAAATAAAATGTCTTTTTAATGAAGTTTATTAAAATAAAATAGAATTTAGTAATTTAAATGAACTATAAATTACATAAGATTAATTTAATTAAGCAATAAAATATTAATTTTAATAAAATTGATTTAGTATTTATTTTTTTGACTATAAGTAATATATATATTATTATCTAATTTTGTTAATATATTTTTTATATAAAATATACATTTTTTTTGTCTAAAATCAACAAATTCAATATAATAAGACTAATAAATAATATAAAAAATTTTAAATATATAAAAAAATGAAATTATTAATTATTAAATACTATATTTTTAATTATAAAAAATTAAATTTTATAAGATTACGTATAAAAATCCAAACAAAAAATCATTCATTTTTTTTCTTTTATACAAAAGTAAATCCATCTTCTTCCATTTTTTATTTTTCTTCTTATATTTATTCCTACTATTATTATTAATTTTCACTAATCTAACTATTATCTTCCCATTATTAGCTTTCATTATCATCCGAATTGTCTGAATCATTTTTATTTTCGCATTTTCCAACAACTTTAATATTCTTTTATTAAGAGTTTAAAAGTATTAACTATTCATATATTTTATATTTATCATTTTCTATTTCTTAAAATAATTCAATTATAATTCTAGCTATATCCCTTTCACTATTATCTTCTATTAAAGTGTAAAATCTTTCCTCTACTTAATTAATAAGCCAATATTCTAAATCCTCCTCTTTTAAATTATATTCATATATATAATTATATAAATCGTTTATGAATAAATTCACTAAATCGTTTTCTGTTTTATTTAAAAAATTATTATTTGTATTTGTAACATGCTTTATTACTAAATTATTCTCTTATACCCATCCATTTTAAATTATAAGTTTTATTACAGGCCAATTATTAATTATTATTGATAATCCTTTTTTAAAAAATGTTTCAAATTTATTGTTTTAGTTAATTAAGTCCATGTTATTATTTTTTTATACTTAAATAAATTTATTTTAATTATTGATTAAAATAGAAAAAATTAATTTTTATAAAAGTAAAAAATACATAAATATAAAATAAATATTTTTTGATAAATATTATTTATAAGAATATAAAAAAAATAATAATCAAATCATTCATTATTAATAATTAAACCTTGTAAAAAAATAAAAAATAAAAAATAAAAAAATTATATACCTTCTTTTAATTCACTAAGATTACATGAAGACTAATTATAAAAATATTTATATACATAAATATATATATATTTTTTATATATATATATATTTTATATATATTTACAGTAGTAAAATTCAAAATTATATATAATAAACCTATACTAAATAATATTAATCCATATAAATATCCTGTTATATCATTAGATTCTTATTAAATATCATATACTGTAAAAGATGATAAACTTTAATTAATATTTTTATCTAATTAATATATTAATAATATTTTTACAATAATTTAAATACTCCTCTACCTAATAAAGTATTTAAAAAATAAAAATATTTATTCATAAATTCTTTTTTAAATTCAAAAATTATTAATGCTAAACCAAATAATCTATATATTTTAATATATGAATTTATGTAAAATATATATAAAAATATATGTATATATAATTATATATTTATTATAATTAATTATAATTATATACATTTAAAAAAATGGCATAAAAAACAAAAAATTATGCCGAAAAAGCTTTATTGAAAATATCTAAAGTTATTATTTACCATACACCAATAAAAACTAAAAACAATCTTTATTAAATAATAGATTTAATTTAATTTTTAATAATAAAATATATATACGATGCTAATAAATTAACTCCTTTAATAATTTTTACAAATAAATTAGCTTTTGTCATATTTTTTTTAAATTCTTTTTTTTTTTTTTTAAAATTTTTTTTTTTATAATTTTTTTTATTTATTAAGTAAAAAAACTTTTAATATAAATTCATTTTTAATTTAAAAAAAAAATTATATAAACTTTTAATTTAATTTAAAATAAATAAATTAAATAAACATAAATAATATATATATATATATATATATATATATATATATATATATATATATATGTTTTATTACATTAATTTTAAAAAATCTATTTTATATTATTAAATAATTCATAATTTTTTAATTTTTATTAATTAATAAATAAAAAAACAAAAAAATGAAAAAAAAATTGCCTTAAGATTAATTAAAAAAATGCGTAAATTTAATTTTTAACAAGTCTTAATAAAAAATATAAAATGTAAAAAAAAAAGAATTTATTAAAAATATATATTTAACAATAAAGATTAAAATTAATAATAAAACAAACGATAAATAATATACAACTATCTTAAATAGTCCTTAATCCATATGTATTTCTGAATAAATACAAAAAAATAAAATATATAATTAAAAAATAAACAAAACCAGTATTTCTTAATCGACTAAACAATAATCATAAGACAATTTATGCAATTTTAATTTTTTAATAAGTAACAAATTATACAAAGAAGACCAAGACTTTCCTTCTTAAGAAGAAATAAGCAAGAAAATATCTCAATTAGTTTACAAAGTATTATAAATATAAAAATCTCCTAAATAATAATCACAAATTTTTTCTGAAAAAAAATCAAATAAATTAAAATCACAATAATCAATCAAAATTTAAAAAAATTAATCAATATTAAACTAATCAATATTAAACCAATCAATATAAAATAATGAAGATTTCTAAAGTAAACGTTCTATAAAATTTATAGAAAAAAGAAATTAAGTAAAAGCAAATAATTTAACTTAAAATGAAAATGAATCTTCTAAAATTAGTTTAAAGTAATTAATATATATATATATATTATTTAATTATTTATAATTAATATATATATATAATATTATTATTTATATTTTAGTTTATAAAATAAATATGAATAAATTAATAAAATTTAAATAAAATTAAGTTAAAAAAAAATAAGTTCTTTTAAAAATTATAAAGACGAAAATAAAAACAATTTAAATATATAATCTTAATAAAAAAGTAATAAAAATATAAATATTTTTTATAAAATTATAATTAATTAAATATTTTTAAAAATTAAATAACAAATTATTTAAATATATACAGTTAACGTTAATCTTTCAAAAAATATATAATAAAATTAAACGAATTATGTTTAACCATATAAACATTAAACAGATAGAAATATAAATACATAAAAATATGATTTTAATAATAATTATAAAACTAAATAAATAAAATGAAAATTAAGTGTCTTCTTTAAAAATTAAAGTGATATAATTTATTATTAATAATAAAAAAAAATATATATATATAATATATAATATATATATATATATATATATATAAATGCGCTTTTTATATTAATTTTAAAAAAAAAATTCTAAACACAAATAATGTTTTTTTTTTATTTTTAAAAAAAAAATTTTTTTTTATAAAAAAGTTAACATAAATATTTGAATTTTTTTTCTTTTTTTAAAATAATAAAAATTAATTTAAAATGTATTAAAAACAAGAAAAAAACACTTTTTTAAATAAAACTGATAATTTAATCCGTCTTTTATCAGGAGCTGTTTCTGGTACTCTCTCTCGTACAGCTGTTGCACCAATTGAGCGTCTAATAATTCTCCGATAAACCAAAACTCCTAAATATTTTCAAAAATCTTTACTTTAATCTCTACTAACTATGTATAAAACTGAAGGCATAACCTCCTTATTCAAAGGCAATTTAGCAAATTGCTTACGTATAGCCCCTTATTAATCTATAGAGTTTTTTACTTTCGATTTATATAGATATTATATCCAAAATTTATTCCAAATATAAAAAACATCTACATATAATACCACAAGCATGCTCTTTTGTGGAGCATTAGCCGGTATGACTGCCTATACATGCGTTTATCCTTTAGACTTAGCCAAAACACATCTCGCAATCCATACAGACAGCAATACTAGGTACTCTATTAACCAAATACTTTCCCGAATTTATTAAAATGAGGGTTTTTTTGGTTTATATAAAGGCATGAGTGCTACCTTATTAGGTATAGCCCCATATGCTAGTTTAAAGTTAACTTTTTACTAATTATTGAAGAATTTTTATGGAAAAAAGATCCATCAAACACAATTAATCTATTTTTCGGTGCCCTTTCAGGCTGTATGGCAGTCACAATTACTTACCCGACCGATTTTATACGGAGAAGATTATAAATTACTCAAATAGGTAATAATTAGAAAGTTAAATTAGTATAATTTGCAACTAATATAGTCAAATAAGAAGGTTTTCTTACTTTATATTGTGGTTTGATGACTACTTATGTTAAAATTATACCTTCTACTGCTTTAGCTTTTGCAATAAATGAATATATGAAAAATTAATTTGGGATATATTGATATATATATATATATATATATATGTAAAAAAAATTACTTTTATTTTTTTATTTTTTATTTTTATAAAAAAAATAAATAAATAAAAAAAATTATAAACTATATATATTCAATCTTAATTAATCATTTTAACTAAATCTGAAATTGGTTTAATTTATCCAGTTTAGACCATCCATTCTCTAAAATATCCCTATATAGCATCTTATAATAATTTCTATTAGTTTTCATTTAATCCACAATTAATAATATTATTTTATAATTCCTAGTATTTTTAAAACCTTTAAATTATATGTTCTCTATATTCATTAGGAGCCAATATAGGTAAAACAACTTTATTATTATTATTATTTTAATAATTATTTTTTAATTCTTAAATTTGTTTCTCCAAATTTAAAACATTCTCAAAACTCACTAAATACTAATAAGGAATTACCCTAAACTACAATGGTAAATTAATACAGAAAAAGTCTTTTAAACTCATAATCTAATATCCTAAACACTAATTTTAATTCATAACAAAAGGACTTTAAAACATTTAACAATTTTTATAACAAACTGGTATTTTAGCTAATTTTACCTTTTCTAAAAGTTCTATATAATTACCATTATGGGGTGCTAGATTAATAGATCTATTATCCCCATATAAAACAGGGTTGAAGCTTCCATAATAATGTATAGTGGAATCTATAGTATTACCTATTCTAATAAAACTAGACGCTACAACAATATTGACATTTTCGCATTTATCAATAGTGCATATTTTTTAAACTGCCGATACAAAAATATTCATATTTATACAATTTGATATAGATAAATTATAAACATAGGAATCTATATATAAATAAGAATCTTCACAATTAACAATTCTTAAATCTTAATTTTCACATGATTTTTCATCTTTACACATTACACTTTTAGTTAATCCTTAAATATACACAATATTATCTATTAAAAATAAATTAAAATAAATAATAATATATATATAAATAAATATATATATATATATATACATATTTTTATACCTTATGTTTCATTCATAGATAATGTATTTGTTAAATATTCAGAAAGTACTTTTGCGCTTATTTTTTATTATGGATTATTAAAAAGTTATGAATATTAAGACAGATTAATTTTATTATTATTATTTTTTCCTTTTTGTATTTCTGGTCTTAAAATTATTTATAAAATACTAAGATCTTTAGAACTTATCATGCAATCTTCGTTATTTAAATCATTACTAACTAACCTTAGTATAGTTTTTATGTTATATCTTATATAAAATATAGCCTATTGATATTCTGAATTAAACTAAGTAGTCGTTCTCGTAGTTTTAGATCTCGGAGAATTCAAAGGAGAGAAATTATGCGACATATTTGACCTAAAAACCTCATTGAAATGAGTATTAATTCCTATTTTCTAAAATCTAGTGAGAAATTATGCCTTGATGAAATTCCAAATAATTATAAAAATAAATAAATTGCTAATCCTCTAATATCAGCCGTTAATACTTATTTTTTATTTAAAAATGATATATCATCTTCTGTCATAATTTTATAATTAATAAAATAAATTTCTGCATCTTTTTCATTGATATGTTTTAACAATGTTCTTTAAATTATTCCATACTAACTTTTTTATCATTTTAACTTGCTATTTAATTTAACGAAGTCAAAATGTTAACTAAATTTATTAAAGTTAATTTCGCTGGTGTAGGATATACAGAATGTTCGAACATTTCCTATTTAATATGTAATATTTAAGTATTCAATTTTAATTTTAATATATATATATATATATAAAATTTTAATTTTTTAGTATAATTTTTAAATTTTTTTGTTAGAAATTCATATATAAATATATATATATATATTATATAATTATATATACATATATATATTTATATATTTAATTTTTTTTTAATATAAATTCTTTCGAAAAGGATATTTTCCAAACCTCCTCATAATTTATTATTATTAATTTAAACAACTGAAATAAACTTAAAATATTAATTTTATTTTTCATTTTTTTTTATGTTTACATTAAAAATAATTTATTAAAATTAATTTCTTATGTATTTAAATAATTTTTTTTTTTTTATTATTTTAATTTTTAATTATTATTTTTTCTAAGATATTTTTTTTTTTTTTTTTCCAATTTTTAACTTAATAAATAAATTTTATGTAAATAAACCAATAGTAAAAATTATAAATCTTTTAATATATTCATATATTCAACTTTATTTTATTTAAATGGAACGTCATTTTCATTTGAATTTTAATTAAAATTCAATTACAAAAAAGTCCTTAACTGATCTAAATTTTTCCTCAAGAAACCTTATAGTAATAAATATTCAATATTTATTTAAGCTTTATTTTCTATAATTATTTTAAAGGTTATTAATAAAAAATCCTATAACTTTACCTAAAAAACTATTTTAAGTTTAAAACCTTAATTTGAATTATTAAACAGCCTAATATGTAAACTGACTTGCGGATTTTCCAACAATTCCTTAACTCTATTCTATTCTTTTAATAATTTCCTGATTAATTATTCAAAATAAACCTGAATTCTATTTCCAAGCCTATTATCATAATTTAGATGCTAGTTATATTATATAAAAAAGGTATTTTAAAAAAAATGTTATTTATTATTTTATATACTTTAATAATTTTAATAATGATCATTATATATATTAAAATCTAAACTATTATCTATAATTATTAAAATTTAAAGCTATTATATAGGATATTTATATACTCAATTAATCCTATCTAAATAGTGTAATTTTTTACCTATAATCCTTTTATAAAATCATTTTATATTTTTTAATAATTTGGAAGACTATATGAACTATTTTATTGTGTTCTAATTATTTAATTAAATAAAAGTCTATTTTTTAATGTTTTTGTGAAATTATTGATATTATTATTATTAAAAATATATATAATTAAATAAAGAAAATAAATATTTTTTTCAAAAAATATATATATATTTTAGATTATTTATTTATTAATATTTTATTTATTATTTATTCATTCATCATTCAAATAATTCATATAACTAAATAATCTTATATTGTTTAAAAATACATCAATAAAATAGCTTGTACCTCCTACTAAATATAACTATTTTTTTTTTTAAAAAACAAAAAAAGCATAAAAATATAGAAATATATATATTTACAGTTTAATCATTCAAAATATTATATTATTCGAAATTTAAGCTTAAAACTGATTAATTAGATTATTAAATTTATTAAATTAATTATCCATTTTTAAAATTATAAAAATAAACAAAACTATTCTCACCTCCAACAGCAATAGACTATTAAAAAAATTGTATTTTTTTTTTTTATAAATTAAAAAATATGTATTAAAAATCTACATTTTCATCAATAATTTATATTGAATAAACATCATATTAAGTATTAATAACCAATTATAGTTAAAATGTCTCTAAATTCCATATACTAATAAAATCATTATGTCCAATAAACTAATTATAAAAATAATATTTAAATATATATATATATATATATATATATATATATATATATATATATATATATAATCATATTTAATAAAAAATTAAATATTTATATAATTATAATTATTTATTTATCATAATTAATTACCAAATTATTATTAAAAACATTAAATGTATATATATTTTAAAAAAACGAATTTTCATTATGTTTTAAAGTTTTAAAATATTCTAAATTATCTTAATTTATATACCATATTTATACTATTCCTATTTTCGAACCTACTAATAGATATTTATTCTTGAATATAACTGCACATGTTAATGGATTATTTTTAATTTAAATTATTGAATTTAATTATTTTTATGAATTTTCAACAGCATCATTTATATGTTAATTTGAATTGTAATCTTAATCAATTTTCTCTAGTTTTTTATCCAAACAAACTATATATCCATTACTTATAATTGCATAAATTTTCTAATGAATTTATTTTTATATAATCATTTTATTTAATTAATAATTAATATAAATTACATCTTTAATTATAATAATATCATTTATTTATGAATCTCCATTCTATTTATATATATAAATATTTTTATTTTTTTATATATTTTTTACACATCTAAAACTAAAATTTTATTAATCTTTAAAATTCGAAACTAACTTATTTTTTAATTTTATATTTTACTAATTTGTATTCATTTTATATATAATTATTTATATTTTTCCAAGAAAATATCTTTATTTCTTCACCATCAGATACTAATAAATCTTAATATTAATTCAAGAATTATATTTTTATTATTTGTTTTCTCAAAAATTCAAAGCTAATTAAATTTTTAAAAACCTATTCATCTTAACCACTACTTTACTTTAAAAAATACTCTTTCTATTTTTTTTAAAAAAAATATGTTAAAAAAATTAAAAAAAATAAAAAAATTTTATGTAAATTATACTAATATCTATTTAAAAACAAATATATGAACAATTCCTTTAAAATCTCCAGCTAAAATATAATTTTTATCTTAACTAAATAGAATGACATTAAATCCACTCATATATATTCTAAATATTTATAAATAATTAATATTAATATATATATATAATTATATGTATATGTATATTTATATATATATATAAATTTATTTATTTAATAATTAAAAGATATATATTTAAAAAAAAAAATTTTAAATAAAAATAAAAAAAAAAAATTTTTTATATAAAATATAAAATATTTAATAATAAAAATTAATAATAAAATATTAACTTAATTTTTTAAAAATCTTACAAATATTTTTATATATACAAATTATTACAATTTCAACATGATTTTTATATATATAATAAATAATATATTTTTTCAAATAAATAACTAATAATTATATTTTTGAATAATTTTTTAATAATCATATCAAATATGTTTTTTTATTGAATGATTAGTTAAAAGAATAATAAAAAGAGTTAATTAAAAATATAAAATATCTTTACATATCATTACTTTTTATTTTTTAAAGTTAAATGAAAATATAATCAATTAATAATATTATAATAAAATTATATTTTTTAGAATTATAAAAATTTAAATTATTATATTTATAGAATTTATTATTTTAATAAATTTTATTAGTTTAAAACTGTAATAATTATAAATTATATCAATTAATTATTTTTTATTATTTAATAATAATATTGAATTCAATTGAAATTTTATTTTTTAATTAATTTAGGATTAAATATATATATTAACTTAAATATATATATGAATGATATAATTAAATATAAAAGAATGTTTTTAATTAAATATAATTAAAAAGATTTTTATTTATTTAATTATAATTAATTTTTATTTATAAAAAAAATATTTGTACTAGCAATAATCTTATAAATGCTTTTATATTATTTAATAAATAAGATAATTATCTAAAAATTATGTTTATTTTAATACTTTATTAATCTCATATCAAAAATATATTATAATATGTATAATAAAAAGTAATAAGTATAAAAAAAGCTATTAGGATATATAATTTTTATTTTAATTAATTTATATAATTAATTATATATTAAAATAAATTTAAAAAGGTTTCATTTATAATATATTTTATCATAAATACTTCTAATTTAATTAATAAAAAGAAAGAGTTTTTATATATATAATGTCTCAAATATGTTTATATATAGTTATAACCTAACATATTTGTTTTTATTTATATATAACATAAAAAGAAAACACTGAAATTAAATTTTTAATCAATATATATATTTTTTAAAAATAAAATTTAATTTTAATATTTAATAAAATAACTTTGATATATGTGTTATTTATTAATTGTTTTAAATTATTATTTAATAAAATTATTGAATTAATTAATATATATTTTCATTAAAAATAAAATTTATATCATGAATCATAATTTATCATTTATTTGTTATTAATAATTATTAATTTCTATTTTAATAAAAAAAAACTAATTAAATTATTATATTATTTATATTATTTCAGAAAAAACTAAATGTATAAAAAAGTAAAAATTTAATTATATATTTTTATTATTAATTTGTATTATTAAAAAAGTTAATTATATAAAAAAAAAAAAATAATATATAAATTATATTATAAAGTTTTTATTGTAAATAATTCTAAATAATAATATTTTAAAATATATATAAAGATAAAAATATATATATATATATATATATATATATATAAATATATATATTTATATAGATATTTTTTTTTATAAATATATATATTTAATTATATTTATATATCTATGATTTCTAGTTAAATTTAATTTTTTTAAAAAAATTATATAAATAAATTATATTATTTAGAATAAATTAAATAAAATTAACAAATAAATAATATATTTTTTGAATATAAAAAATTTTATATTCATTTTATTATATTTTAAAAAAAGTAAAAATATAAAAATTAAAAAAATTAATATTAAAAATTATAGTAGTCAAACATAATTAAGATATTAAAGATTTATATTTTAATTGAAAATTAATATAATATAATATTATAAAAATTATACAAATTATAAAAGTTAATTATACATTTTTCTAAAAATTAAATGCTTTTTTATAATATTTTTTAATTAATTTTTTATAAAACAATCAATAAATTAATGTATATGTATTTATTATACTATATACTTTTTTTAATTAGTATTTTTTATTTATTTACAATAGAATTTTTTTCTTTCATTTTTGTTTAATAAAAGGATGATTTCTAATCTTTTTTTATTTTAAGTTATAAAATAATGTTTAATAAAAATTACTTATTAGATAGATAGTCTATTATTAGGATTTATATTTAAAATTTTATTGAAAAATTATTATCCTTCCTCATTTATTATAGTAGGATCATATTTAATATTTTATGCGTGTATTTATTTTATTAGACTTTTATCATCAATTCCTTTAAAAGGGAAATTTCCACATAATAGAGTATAAAATACGACTCCAGAAGCCCATAAATCAGCATTTTATCCATAATAGTCTTTTTATTCTATCAATTCAGGAGCCATATAACCTGCAAAAGTAAAGTTATTTTTAAAAATATATAAATAAAAATAAACTTAATGTTCCACAAACAGTTTTAAGTTTTTCTTTAGATATAATTGAAAATCCAAAATCAATAATTTTAATATTTTTATCTTTATCTAACAATATGTTTTATAATTTAATATCTCTATGATAAATATTATTAGAATGCAAATAATATAAACAATCTAAAATTTACAAAAAAAAGGTAATAGCTTCATTTTTAGATATCTTCTTGTTTTATTTAACATATTAAAATAATGAAATATCTCCTAAATATTCCATAATTAAATTTATCTAATTTTATAAAAAATATATATAATTATATTTATTTATTTAATTATATCTTTAAAAAAATGAGTATTATGATATAAATTTATATATAAATATTATATATTTAATATTTTTTATTTTAATATATAAAAAAATATAATATTTACAGTTTTTTATGTATTTATTGTTTTTATTAATTTAACTATATTCGGATGATTTGTTATTTGCAAAATTTTAATTTCTCTTTGTAAATTTTATTTTTTTATATTATCTATAAGTTTAAATTTATCATAAATTTTTATAGCTACTTTTTCGTTAGTATTTATATTTCTTCCTAATTTTACAACGGCATAAGTCCCAATACCTTTATGTTTTAATATATTATTATTTATGAAAAATTAATACCAATAATTTCTCCTATTTAATAGTTTTAAATTTTGTTTTCTTATTATTTTTATTGTATATTTTATCCTATTATTAATTCGTATTTATAATTCTTTTAATTTTCAATTTTTAATGAATTGTATTCTCTTATTTCTTTAGAGTTTTTCGAATTAATTTTATTTTTTACAACTTTAAAAAATATTTATGGAGTTTAAATGCAATTTTTTTTATTCATAATTTTTTAATCTTTTTTCTAAGTATCCGATTAAATATGTAGACTAAACCTTTTTTTTTCTTATGAAATAGATTATCTTTATATAATTTATTGTGTTTAATTTAAATTTTAATTATTTTAACTGTTTATTTAGTTAAATATTATCTTTTAATTTATTTATATATTGTTTAAATGTTTTGAATTCGATTATTTATTCTAAAGTAAGTTTATTTCATATTACAAACGTATTAATTCTTTATCAATACATTTTTATTTGTCTATCTATTTTATAATAAAATTAATGTTTATATTTTTTCAGTTTTACAAGTTCTTTCATGGAATAGGATTATTTAAATGTTTTATATTATTTTGAAGATTAAATTTAAGAAATTTATGAGTTATTTTATTATTAATTATATATGAAATTATGTAGCTTGTTAATTTCTTGCATATTAAGATTTATTAAATTTAATAATTTTATATTATATATGATGAAAAAAAATAAAATAAAAATATATATTTTTATTTAAAAAAAAATAATAAATTATAAAATTTTTAATAAATAAAAAAATAAATCTTATTTAAAACTAAAATATATAAAAATTAATAAAGTAGTAATAAGTACAATTATATTATAAAAATACATATTTATAAAAAAAGAAATTTATTTATAAATAATAGAGAAATAGTTTATTCATAAAATAAATATTAAATAATATTGGAATAAAAATATAAATCAAAAAGAAAAATAAAATTATAAAAAATAATAAATGAAATAATAATAATAAAAACAATTAAAAAAATAATAAACATAAAAAAAAACATATTAATAAAAAAAAATATAGAAATAATAATAAATAAAAAAAAGAAGTAATAATTATAGTAATAAAAATAATAATGAAAATAAATATAATAAAAATAAAAATATACTAATAATAATAATAATAATAATAATAATAATAATAATAATAATAATAATTTTAATTTATGTATTTAAATAAAATAATAAGTACATTTTTATTTATTATTATTTCAAAATTTTATCTACATAATATTAGTTATAAAATTATTCTTGCATATCAATATTATATTAAAATAAATATTTTTAAAATATAATAAATATATTAATTAAATTTGTAATAATTTATTAAAGTAATATAATTATTTAATTTATAAAATGGTTTTAAATAATAAAATCTTGTATTATAAAATTATTATATTTTTAAAAAATTATGTAAAAATAATATTTATAAATATATTAAATAATTAAATTAATAACATAAATATTATAAAATATATATGAATATTACTTTTTTTATAATTTTAATTTTTTTATAATAGAAATTATTTATATAAAATAAAATATATTATTAATTAATTTATATTTTTTTATAAAATTTTTTATAAATAATATTAAAAATTAATTTTAAATAAATAATTAATATATAAAATTACTAAATATATATATTTTTTTTTAATTTAGTATTTTCTACTTATTAAAATTAAAATAAATATTCTTTTTCATTATTTATTTAATTAAAAATATTATTAATACAAAATATTTTATGCATCCCATTTCTTTTGGAAAGACTAAACAGCTTTATCTTTCAGTACTTATCCTTTATCATCATGTGTTGGTATTCCTTTATCATTAAATTAATAGTTTTTATATTTAATATCATTTCTAAACATATCAGATGGATTTACACTCATTTATTTAATTTTTTCTTATTCTTTTTTCTTTAAAGCTTCTTATTATTATGCTTATTTTAATTGTTTTTCTTCTTTTTCTTTCAAAAGTATTTCTTTATCATCAAATTTCCACAAACTTTACTCACCAGGCTTTCCATCATCTATTCTAACTCCCAAATGAATTAATTTTTCATCTCTAACTGTATCACAGACGTATAGAATATTCTTATGTTATTATTCTTGTGCACTTTTTAAAACACTTTCATAGAAATAAGTAGCTATTTCAAAAGCTTATGAAGTATTATCATTAATGTTTTTCTTAGAGGCAAATTTATTTAATTTATCTTAGTAGTTTTATGATAATTCTTATATTTTTACAAAATCCTATCCTGAACCTCTTACATTATCTCTGAAAGATGAAATTTCATTTATTAATAAAACAAAAATGTCTTCTTATTATTACATATTATTCTATAAATGTAATTATATATATATATATATATATATATATATATATATTTATATCATCAATTTATTTTTATACATTTTTTATTACATATATATAATTACATTATTATCATAGCATATACCTATACAGTAGAAAATATATTTAACATAATTACTTATAGATAATAATAATGGGTATATATAAGGTTTTTCTTTTAAATAAATATTAACTTATCTTATTATTTCTTCTATTTCTCCTATTACTTTTGGTATATTGAAATTATTCTAAAAATGTTTATGAATTAATGCTTATTTTTCTTAAAAAAATTCATTTAATACAAATTCTTTTTTTTCCCATTTTAAACTAATATTTATATTAAACTATAATAAAATTGCATTAATAGTTATGAAAAACTCGCTAAATTTCTTATCTTTAATTTTATATTCTTCTAGAGTATTTTCTGAATAATCCATGATAGAATCGTAGTTTTATTTCGTAAAAATAAGCCTCAAAACTCTACTTGAAAATCTCTAAATTAAATTCTTAATACTGATAAAATTTTTTAGACTTTTTGCCATTTTTAATCCCTCTATATGTAAATGTCCAGTATGCATAAAATAATTTACCCATTAATTATTTTCTTCTTTATTAAAATAAGCTTCACTTTATGCAATCTCATTATCATGATGAGGAAACTTTAAATCTTCTCCTCCCATATGGATATCTAGAGGATACCCTAATATCTCAGATGCCATAGTAGAACATTCAATATGCCATCCAGGTCTTCCTTTACCCCATGGTGAATCCCATTCAGGTTCATTGGGTTTACTAGCCTTCCATAATGCGAAATCTTTCTATGATCTTTTCTCAGAATCATTTTTTACACCTAATTTACCTTCACCGTCATCTAGTTTTTACTTATTATTTACAGATTAAGGCTCAAGTTTTGCATAGCATTAGTTTTAAGTACAATGAAATTTTTCAACATTAAAATAAACTGATTAATTTGATTCATAAGCAAATCCATTTTCGATAATTTTCTTTATGTAATTGATTATTTCAGGAATATATTCACTTACTCGAACTATTGCATCAGGCTATATATATACATATAGAATATAAAATATAATATAATGTATTATTATTATCAATTTTTACTTTATCAACATTTAATTATTACATATCCTCCCAATAGTCTATTTCCCATTTACGAGCGAATTAAGCGAAATCTTATTTTTATTCATTTGAGCGGTCTATTATTTTATCGTCTATATCTGTTATATTTTAGCAGAAAAATACATCATAACCAAAATATCTATTCATTACTTTTCTTATCATGTCGACACTTACATAAGTTCTTGCATGCCCTAAATGTGAAGCATCATATACCTATTTTAGATATAAAATCATTTTTGGAAAAAAAAATTATTTTTTACTGTCGGACCACAATTGTAAAATTTTACTTTTTTTCCCTTATATGGAATAAACTCTACCTATTATTATTTTTTTTATCATTTTTTTGATTTTTTTTCTTTTTACTAGTTATTCGGGATTTAATGAGTTTTAAACTTTTAATCCTGTAATGTAGGAGTCTTCGTTTTTTTAAGGCAACTGCCAAAGCTAATAAGGATTTTTTTGTTAGTCTTACATTTAACTATTATAATTTGTTATATATATATTGTTTGATTTATATTAACTCTTTTTTTTTATAGAGCTATTTGTTAACTTTTATAATTGAAATACTTATAATAAATAGAAAAAATAAATTTATATTAAATATTAAAATTATATTTTTTAAAAAAAATTAAATTATATTTATGCACGTAATCAAATTTTTTATATAAAAAGAATTTTTTTTTTTTTTTTTGAATTAAAATAGTTTTTTTTTAAAATACTATTTTTTTATTTTAAAAAAAGTCTATAAAAATATAGATAATATATAATAAAAGATAAATAAATTTATATAATGTTTTCAAATAGTCAATTTTTTAATTGTATTTAATATAATTTTTTTAATTTATTTTATATGAGAGATTTTTATTATTAAATTTACAAATTAAATTAAAAAATAATAAAAAAAATTATTTTCGCAATCGAAATAAAGCATGCAATAAATACAAATTAATATATAAAAAAATATATAAATTCTAAAAATTATAATAATATATATATAATAAATTTTATATACAAATATAATAACATTATATAAAAATCAAACCAAATAAACCGCCAAAAAAATTAAATTAATAAGTAAAATACCACCATAAACATCTTTTTCTGCATCCTTAATAGGTTTTTCAAACATGCTATTATAATAACTGTGGAAATTATTCCCAGACCTCGTATATTCTCCATCAATCCCCAACGGCACAACATAAAAATCTTCATTATTCGCCGTATATATTTCCTATCCGACATGCCTAAATTTTAACCTACTAGGTATTGTAGTTGCCACATCATCCTTATGAGTCATCCTGAAATTTTCCCCTTTAATTTATCCATTAACAAAGCTCACAAAGGCCTCATTCCCAACCCTTGGACTACCAAAAGTATACAAATTGATTTTATTTTAATATTATTTACTATATTCAGCAGCAGCTAATGTAGCTACTGCAGCCCCAATATTTGCCCCAATAAAATTAATTTAAGAAGCAGATGGATATAAGCTCATTATCGTTTTCATTTTATTTAGAAAGTCAGGTTTTATTACTTAATAATATCCATGCCATATTTTATGCACTTAACAATATCCTACACAAACATCTGAATCTGACTAGTCTTCATTTAAATCATATGTCCATTAATAATACGAATCTCTTCCTTAGTACCTAAAAGTCACAAAAATAGATTAGTTTTAATAAAAAATAGTACCATAAATCCCGTCTTTTTAGAAAAATTACTAACTATCGTTTTCTTATATTTACTAAACATTGTATTTATTCTTTAGAATCAAAAAATAACTAAAAATCTTATTCTTATCAAAATTTTTATACACATACAAAGGCTAAATATCTCCTACAGGACAGAATAGACCTTCAGGACAGTTATAACATCTCGATTGACCTTCCTGCGCGTAAGTATTTTCTGGACAATCGAAAGGCTAAGATGCATAAAAACAAGATTTTCCTCTAGGACAGAGTGTACATGAAGCATTCTTACTATTAGGGTCAATTTGCAAGTAAAATCCTTACTAACAGTATACACATTTGCCTGTTTTAGGGTCTATATATTACCCTTCATCGCAAGTAGCAACTGGTGCCTAATCTTTAACACAAAAGGCTTTATTTTTGCATTGTTCGCATTTTGTTTGTCCTCTTTTGTCTTAATATTAGCCATCTTCACATTATTTGCAAGAAATTTACTTGGAACTATCCTAATAAGTACCTGGGAAACATTCAATTGGCAATATATCTTTATAAGGGCAAAAACTTCCCGGAGAACATTCTATACACTTAGTTTTTCCTTCACTTACATTAAATTCTCCTACGCCACAAGGTTAACAAGAAACACTATTTTTAATATTCGAAAAAAATCCTTTAGGACATTTAACAGACTGTAAATCTTTAAATTGACAAAAATTCCCAGCTGAGCATTCTTGGCATACTTAAGACCCTTCTTATATATTAAATTGACCATCCGGACATGTTTTACATATAGATTTCCCTAATTCATCTTAAAAAGTCCCTTTTGGGCATTTTCTAGGTGATTCATCTACATATGGGCAATAATTACCAATTGGACATTTAATACATTCTATATTATCTTAATTTATAGAATATTAGCCATCTGGACATATATTACATTTAACTATAGTAATACCATCAATATCCAATATTTTATAAGTTCCCGGTCCACAATTATCAATTTTAATTTAAGCTTAAGGACAAAACTATACATTTCCAACTTTAAGTATACTAGAAGCACAATAGACTGGAACTTAGTCTTTATTTGCACAAGAGCAATTTTTACCTTCACTATCTTTCCCAAGTTTACAATTTCCATCTTCCGGACATTTTTAACATATTTCCTGTCCTATCTTTCATTATAATAGCCATCGGGACACTATAGACATTATTCTTAATTAATTTTATTTTAGAAACTTCCCTCAGGACAAGGTACTGGAACGTCTGTTTTCCATTCACATTTATTTCCTTTTGGGCATTCTTTACAAGCTATTTATCCTTCTTATTCATTATATTATCCTTAAGGACATTATATACATTCTATTTAATTCGGTTTATCTTAATAAGTTGCTATAGGACATGGTATAGGAAGTATGTTTTTCCATAAGCAATAATTTCCAGCAGGGCAATTTATACATTTAGTCTATCCTGTCTAATCATTGTATTCTCCATCTCGACATTCATGACATTCGTTCTAGTATTTCTTATCCTGATAAGTCCCCGTAGGACAACTTATGGGTGCCATATCATTTCTAAAGCAATAACTTCCTTCAGGGCAGTCTTTGCATTTAGTTTATCCTACCTAATCATTATATTCACCGTCTTTACAAGGCTTACATTCAGTTTAATTTTCTAAATCTTGGTAAGTTCCGGCTGGACAATCTGTTGGGGCTTCATTTTTCCAAAAACAGGATTTTCCTTTTGGACAGTTTTTACATTTAGATTCTCCTTCGTTTTCATTATATTCACCGTCTTTACATGGAATACATTCTAGTTATTTTTCTTTATCTGAATATTCCCCTTTGGCGCATTTTTCTTGTAGTTAATCTCGATAAAAACATGAATATCCTTTTTAGCAGTTTTTGCATTTTTCGTTGCCTTCGATTTCTTTATATTCTCCGTCATTGCAATATAAACATACTTTTTTTTCTATATCTAAATATTGTCCTTTTGGACATAATTTTTCTTCCTTTATAGTATTTTAAACTGGTTAAGTAGGTAATTCTTCTTTTGGACTTTATTTTTATTATTGACGATTAGAAGAACTTTTAGATTTTTCTGTGTTGTTTATCTATTTTTATGCTTTTGATTATATTAAAAACTATGCAAGAAATAATAAAGATATTATTATTATTTAGATTTTTTTAAATTTAAGCATTATTTTAGTTTCTATTTTATTAAGTTCACTTTTATTTTTTTGTATATGTTTTTTTTTTTTTTTTTTTTCTTTTTTAAAATAATTATTTTTATAAATTTGATTTTTTTGTTGAAAAAATATTATTTTATAACGTAAAAAAAATATACTAGAAATATTATTTAATTAAAAAATGAAATTTAATTTAATTAATACCTTTTTCATCAAAAAATATCCATTTTTATTAAATTTAAAAATAAATTTACAAATTATATTTTCATTTTAATAAAAAAGTTATTTTTTAAAAAAATTATTGCTAAATAATAAATATTTTCAAATAATAAAATAATTATATATAAATAATATAATTTTAAATTAATTAATCACAAAAATAATTAAACAATTAAATTTATTAAATAAATTTTAATTATATATTTTATCATTTAATAAAAATAATTTATTATAATTAATATTTATAAATTATAAAAATTGCTTTAGATAATAATAATGTTAAAAATTCAATATTTTAATAAAATAATCTTATAATAAAAAATAATATATTTAAAATCAAAATATATGCAACTATGATAATTTATTAATTAAATAATATGTTAAATAGATAAAAATTGTTGAAAGTATCATAATATTAATTTACACAACCTTTTTTAACATCCTATTCTATTTTTTTACTTTAGGATATTAATATTAAGTCGAAGATATTTTGAACTCTGACTGTAAATAAAACAATATTTTACTTAAAATAAAACTATTTTAAAATTATAAAAAATAAAAAAGTCAATTATTTTTTTAATTTAAATATAAATTTCTATTAAAAACTAAAAAAACTAATATTATTAATAAAAAAAAATATATCAAATATATTTTTTTTTATTTAATAAATTATAATAATTATTTATTTAAAAAATATTAATATATTTTTTTTATTTTGTATTTTAAAAAGAATAACTTAATTAATTAAAAAAATAAAAAAATAATTAAATATTATTTTTTTTTTTCGATATCAAAAAAACTCATTATTTTCCTTTTTAAATTTAGCTTAAATTAGCTTTTCTGAACTATATCTTTTATATTAAAAATTTATCTAAGTTAATTTAAATAAATTAATATTTTATTTATAATAATTATGTTTATTATTATTAGAATTTTAGTTTTTATATTATTTTGATTTTATTAATTTAGTTTAAAGGTTTTTCATTACATTCTAAAAGCATTTTTATTAAGTTTTTTTAAAAAAACCATTATTTTTTGAAACTTATGAGCTATTTTAAGTCAAAAGATTATAAAAGTTATTGTTTATACTACTACTTTATATTCTTTCAATACTTTAAAATTATGTATTATCTTCTTAATTAGTTTTTTATTTTTTATTATCTTAAATAGTATTTGTGAAAATCTCGTCTTAATGATTATTTTTAAAATCACTCTTCTAAAACAAGTATTCTTTTGCTTATTAATTTGGTATATTATTAAAATTTCTCGAATTATATAACTCTTAAGATAGTAATTATTTCTAAAAAGCATAATCAATAAATTCTTTTCTATCTACAGATTAAGTATTTGTATTTTAAAATAAATCACATTTATATCCAGTTTTCCTGTCTAAATTATTCAATTTAATAAGTTATTAACTACCTGTAACTTAATTATTAGACATTTAAGAATTTTTATTATTTTAGATATAATAAACAGCTTTAGAATCTTCAGTCAAGAATTTCTATTTTTAAGAATTTGTGTTTCTTAAAGGTATATTATCTAGTTTTGTCTAACTATTATAGCTTTATTATTTATTTTATAAGCCTAATCCAAAAAATAAACTATCATGTTCTTTTCTTGTTTAGTTAGGTTAAAATGTAAAGCTAATTATTTTTACAATATTATCATATAAAAATAAAATATATAATACTTAGTTTATCCATTATTATTTTTATTCTCTTTTTAAACTAAATTTAATTTCTTTTCAAAATCTTAAACTTATTTATATTATTCTTATAAATAGTGGAATTAATCTAAAAGAGTTAATTTATAATTTGGACTTAAAAATTAAATTAAATTTTTATGAGTTTTATTTTATTCATCTTAATTAATACTTTAAACGTCTATATATATATATATATATATATATATATAAATATAACAATAAATATATGTATATAATACTTATATAAATATAATTTAGTTTATTTACTTTCATTTTTCAACATATTATTTCTTTCTTTTAAAGTATCTTTAATCCTTTTTTATTCTTACATTTATTTTAATGTTAAACCATTCAATTCTTTCTTATACAAATGCTTTATTTTTTCATAAAGTATATCTTTGGGTGAATATTAATCTTTCATTAATAAAACTTATTTTTATTCTTCACTTTTTTATTCGAAATGTTCATTTATCACTTAATTATTATATATTTTTTCAAAATTTAATTAAAATTTTTATAAAACATCTTCTTTCATATTTTATTTATATTTTTCTAAAACTAAGAACACAGCCTAAATACCTTACATAAGTTTATTCCTGAAAAAATCAATTTAATCAATTTAAAAATCCCATTAAATTGGTAAAGGATGAACCATACTTATAGAGCCCAAAAGTTCTATATTTTTTTAATAATTCCATATTTTTACATAATTATCCAAACTACAAGAAACTACACTAAAATTCTAATATTAATAAATAAATAAATTAATATAAAATTAAATTGAACCTAAATATTTTATAATTTAGTAAATCCATCTTTGTGTGCCTAAACTAAATCTAACATAAATTAAGAAAATCCGAAATTCGGATCTAAATCTTCATCTAAAGATGAAATCATTCCCCTTACTTTTTACATTTTGATAACTGAGCATTAAAATTTTTAAATTACTTTAGTTTATTTCATTTAAGAGTTTACTTTTATAATTTTCAGGATATTATTTTTATTTTACTTGAAATATTATATTTTATTATTAAACAAATTTGTATTAAAATCATTTATTATTTATCTAAAAGCATTATAATTTAATTTAGTTTTGGTGTGTTCTATTTTTTTTATTTATTACTATTTAAATATATTTATTATGTCATATTTTCTCATTTCCCCATTCTATAAACCCACTATTAAAAAACAATATAAAGGATATTAATTTTTAAGGTTTTTTAAATCAAACATATGTTAAAATTGTTAAGATTTTTCATTTTAATTATTAGAAAAATTTAAATTATTTTCTAATTAACATAATTGAATATCAACAATTAAATTTGTTGCATATGCGTTTGATGATAATTTTTTGACTGGTAAAAATTCATGAAAATTTTTATCTTATAAATCTTCATCATATAATTACATAAATTAATTTTCATCTCCTTTAATAATTTTTTCATTATTATTGTAAAGTCCATCAATATCAATATTATTAATAGGTGATTAATTTAAAACTAGATTTTCATTTTATTAATTAGTTGTGTTTTTAATTGGATTTTAACTTACAGTGTTTTTTTTTATTGTCTTTTAAAAACATTATATTTAAGCTAATTTGTTTGTTGATCTTCGAATTTTTTTAATTTTTATGAATTAATAGGTGATAATTATTAATTCTTTTAATTATTATTAAATTCTAATTTTTAAAATTTATCTCCGAATGATAGCTATTATTTTTGTTTGAATTAAATTTAATCCCTTCTAGATTTTATTTATTATTAATATGCCTTAATTATATATATATTATAAAATAAATAAATACAAATACAAATATAAATATTATAATTAATAGATATATATAAAAAAATATTTATAAAATATTATTATTTATATAAAATTTATAATCATATATAGATTTTAATTTCTTTTTATTTTACCTATTTTATTATTTAAACCTTATTATTATTTAATTTTTCTTCTCTATATATCAACGATTTTATTAAATTTATATTCCCTATAATTTATAATTCAATACGTTCTTCATTATTATGAAACTTAACAAAATATATATAGCCTAAAGATGTTCCTATAATTAAAATACTAAATCCATCTATAAATTGTAAAGATGTAGCTTGTGTTTATTCAAGTTCGAAATTAGCTATAATTCTTGCATATTCGTAATTATAGAATATTAAAAGATTATCATTTGAAGCAGTAACAATTAGATTATGATAAACAGATACTTCCATAAGTATAATCTATTTTCCATAATGAGAATTTATTAATTATCTAATCTTTTTGTATATATAGATACAAATATATAAATAATATATATATATATATATATATATATATATATATAAATTTATATATAATTTTTTTTATATATTCATATATATTTATTTATTATTTTTAAGTTTAATATATATATTTTTTTTTAATATACCTTTTAAAAATTAAAATTTTGATTTATTTTTGAGGTTATAATTTAACTGTCTGTTGAAGCAGCTATAAACAATTAATTTTCCTCATCAAATTTAATTTAATTAATAGCCCCTGAACTTATTTACATTTAAAAAATAAAATCATAATATTTTAAATTATAAACTTTTATAATTCCTTTTTAATTTCCTATTATTAATTTTTCTCCATTATCAATCATTTAAATGCTTGTAATTGTATCTTCCTTTTATTTTTTTATATTAGTTAATAATTTCTATTTAAATAAATATATTTATATACTTTATCATCATTAATACCTTTTATTATTTTTATATATCTTCCATTTTAAGCATTTATAATTCTTATGTCTTAAACAGTACAAACTATTAGCTATTAATTTTTTTTATTTAAAAAAGTGCTTATAGGATAAATATCTTCTTAATTTTGATCATTAATAAGAGTATTTTTTTTATTTTAAGTATTATTATTATTTCCTTGTTCGAATTCCATAGAAGTAATTCTTGAGCTTATAAAAAATACTTTATTTAAAGTCGTATGTATAAAATTAATTTAATTTTTTAACAAAATATCTTTAATGTTTTTTAAAATATATATATATTTTTTTTTAAATAGATATATATATATATACTTAAAGTTTAAATACAATTATTAGTAATTATATCCCAAATTTTTATTACTATTTTTATCATCACTACTTACTATCATCTTACTGTTTTCCACACTTCTAAAAGCAGTTACTGTTGAATTATGTCCTATTAATTTTCCTATTTAAGTAATATCGTTATTTAAAGGATCAAATTCATATATAGATATAATAGAGTCATAACCAGAAATAAGAATAACATGAAAAGATTAAAAATATTAAATTAAGTTTATATGTTTATTAATAACATTTATCTTTTTTCTTTATATATATATATATATATAAATATAAAATTAACCTTTTAAATAAGTTTATTTTCAAAAAAATCCCAAACTGAAAGTATATTAGGAACAGAAGTTACAACAACTACTTAATAAGATAAAATTTCAAATAAATTACTAATTCCTTTATGAAAAAGTTCAGATTTTATATTATTTTCTACTTCTTCTTTTTCTAAATTCCATATACTTAAGAAATTCCTAATATAATATAAAAATGTTTTTAAATTAAAAAATAAAATAAAAAAAAACACACACACCCATTATCAGTAGTAATCCATTTATCAATAGATTAAACATACCATATTCTTTATTATTCTTCTTATAGAAATTCTCCTACATGAAAGCTTTTTTCATTTTTAAAATCATCATTATAATCCCAAAAAACTAAATAACCATCTCTAAAAGTAGATCCAAGTCGTTTTTATTTTTCAGAAAAAGCAAAGTCCAGACAAATTTAGCAACTTTTTTTATTATTATTTAAAGCGAAAATAAAGGCAAAATAATTTTACCTATTTTATTTACTTTTGGAATGGATTTCCTTTAATAAAACACAATTATCATCATAAAATAGAAAATGATCACTATATTAATCAAGTACTATTAATTTATTTATTTCTTATGAAAAATAACTTCTTTAAATATTATTATTTTTATGATGAATTTTATCAACTTACATTTTTTCCTATTTTTTTTTATTTTAAATAAAACATCAAATAACAAAAATAAAAATACTTTATTTAATTTGGCTATTTATTTATTTTAATAATTATATATTATTGGTAATTCCATATCTACTTCTCTTATTGTTCTTTCATTTTTTTCCATATCAAACATTTTTGGCATTGGAATAAGTTTTTTTGGAATCTTTATTTCTTAAGGCTATAAATCAATATTTAAGGGGTGATTTTGAACTAAAAAGAGAGTTATATCTTAAAATTTTATAGAATTTTAATTATAAAATCTTTCTTTTTATAAATTAGTATCTGCTTTATCAATATGGAGTACACTTTCGAAAAAATCAATTAAAGATAAAACTAAATAAATAGTTTCATCTTTTTCAATTTTAAAGTTTTTAATAAAAACATATATAAAATCAATTATATTTATATATTAAAATTCTTGAAATTCTATTTCAAACAAAATAATTTCATTTTGTAAATATGAACGAACGAATTCCATATTATATTTTTATAATAATTATTATTAAGTTTTCTTATCAAAATTATTATATAATATATTTATTAAATCTTCATTTTCTCTCTAAATTTCGTTATCTATATTTGAAAATTATGTTTAGATTTAATATAGATAAGAAATTGAATTTAATGTAGAAACTTAAGGTTTTGTTTATTGTTATATATCATCAATATATGAATTTTCTATTTATATACTATTTTAAAATTACAATTATTTTTTCATTTAACTTTTTTTTATATTTATTTTATTTTATTTTATTTTTTTATTGTAGGTATTTCTTTATTTTATTTCTATTAATATTTAAAATATATTATTGATAATATATATATGTATACAAAAATTATTATTATATATATATAATATATATATATATATATATATAAATATGTTTTTATTATTATTAATTAAATATATATACATAATTAATAAAATATTATTTTATATTATAATAATAATAGAAATTATGATTATTATTTATATTTTTTAGATTTTAATTTCAATTAATTCATAGTTTTGAAAATTATATTTATTTTATATTTAATAAATTAAAATAGTAAAATCAAAAAAGTTAATTTAAATTTTTATTAATTTCGGATATAAAAAGTTTATTTTTCTTAATATCCCTTAATTATGAACTTTAAAATTAAATTATTATATATCTAATCATAAAAAAAAACAATACCTGTTTAAGTAATAATTATTCAATATATAAATTTTATTTAAAAAAATTACTTTCATAATCCTATTAAATATATAAAATATATAAATGCACTTCCATATCTATTTTATTAAAATAAATAAATAATTTTCGTAATTAAACAAATTTAAAAAGTTCATTTTTAATTAATATTTTTTCATATATCTTTCGTGTATTTAAAATTTATAACTTCGTATAAAAAATAATTTAGATAGTTATTTAGTTATAATGAATTAATATTAATTATAACAAAAACTATTCAATTTCAAATTAATAATTAATTAATTTAAATTAAAATAAAAAACAAAGAAAAAAAAAAAAATATCAATAATATTTCAATTATATATAAAAAAACAATTAAAATAATATAAATAATATTAAAAAATAAAAGTAAATAATAATGAATAAATATGAAATACTAGGAGTTAGCGGTGAAGGTGCATATGGAGTTGTATTAAAATGTAAAAACAGAGAAACTAAAGAAATAGGTATTAATATTAAAAAAATAAATATTCAATCAAGAAAAAGACTAAACAAACATAAATAATATATATAAAAAAAAAAAATATTAAAAAAATAAATAAAATAAGTTGCTATAAAAAAATTTAAAGAAACCGAAGACGATGAAATAGTAAGAAAAAATATATAAAGAGAAGTGAAAATGTTAAGATTATTAAGGCATAAAAATATAGTGGATTTAAAAGAAGCATTTAAAAGGTTATTTTTTTTTTAAAAAAAAAAAAATTACGTTAATTTTTGTTTTATTTTTATCACTTCTTTTTCTTTTTTTCTTTTTTTCTTTTTTTCTTTCTTTTTATTTTTTTTTTAGAAAAGGAAGAATATATTTAGTATTTGAATATGTAGAAAAAAATCTTCTTGAAATTTTGGAATAAAAACCTTCTGGTTTAGATGTATACATAAAAAAAAAAATTTAAAAATTAAAAAAAAATAAAGCCTGAAATAATACGATGCATAATATATTAATTATTAAAAGCTTTAAATTAATGTCATAAATAAGATGTAATCCATAGGGATGTCAAACCAGAAAACTTACTAGTAAACCCATACAATTATGAGCTAAAACTTTGCGATTTTGGTTTTGCAAGATAATTACCATCAAAATAAACTGAATTATTAACCGATTATGTTGCCACAAGATGGTATAGAGCCCCTGAATTACTTTTATAATATTAAAAATACGGAAAAGAGGTAGATGTATGGGCTATAGCCTGTATAATGGGTGAACTAATAGATGGTTAGCCAATGTTCCCTGGAGAAAATGAAATCGACTAATTATATTTGATACAAAAAATGCTGGGACCTTTGACAGTAGAACAAAAGGAATTATTTATTAAAAATCCGAGATTTTTAGGTATGAAATTTCCAGAAATAAACAAACCTGAAACTTTAGAAAGAAGATATTTAGGAAAATTAAGCAAAAAAGCATTAAATATAATGAAGGTATATTTTATAATTATAAAGAAAAAAAAAAAAAAAAGGGTATGCTTAAAATGGATCCTTAAGAAAGAATTACAATTGAAGAAGCAATGAAACATCCATATTTTGATGAAATTAGGGATCAATATAAAAACGAAAATGAAGAACCTAAAAATATATATGAGGAGTTGAAAAAAGATAATTCTATTAAAAAATAAATTGATAAAAAGAATTTTATTAATAATAAAGTTATTTAAGATGAGTAATTTTTTTTAATTTGTTTTACATTTGAAAAAAAAAAAAAAAAAAAATACTATAGAAAAAATAGTAATAATAATGAAAATTTATAAGAAAAATAATAAGAAAATAATAATAATTTTATTAAAACTGAAGCTAATACTAATGAAAAATAAAATAGATTATTTGGATAAAAATCTATTCCTTCTTATTTATAATAAGGATAAAAAATTATGTAGAATACAGTTTATAATTATAAAATGAATGATGGATCTTTTATTGAATAAATTAAAAAAAATAATGTTTTTTTCCTTATTAATAATAAAATAAATATTATTATTTATATAATTCAAAAAGGGAGGATAAAATCAAAATTAGGATAAAAATAATGAAAGCAAATTAAAGATTTAAAACGAATAATAAAAAAAATTTTAAATGCAAAAAAATATAGTATTCTATAAAAAAAATTATTTATTATTTTTTAAATATATACAATAGTAAATATTTAACTTAATAAAAATTATTTTTATATTATATATTAAAAAAAAATTAGAGTTTGAATAAAATACATCAAACATTTTATTAACCAATAGGTTTATATTAATAAAGTAATTTTATTTTTATTTAAAATATTTTTTATTAAAGTATTAAAAGAAGAAGATAAAAATTTTAATGCATATAAACAAAAGCAAACATATAATTAAAATGAATTACCTTAAATAAATAAAAAATAATTAAATAGTGGAGTAAATAATGACATAAAAATATTTATTTAATTAAAATTTTATCTATTAATTTATTTATAATAAAGGAAAATGATGCATATTCATACTCGCCTACATAAAGAACGAAATAAAATTTGGGGCATTAGAATATAAAAGTAGAATTAATATATATATTTTTTATAAAAAATAATAAAAAAAATAAAGCAAAATAATAATACATAAAATAATTAATAATAAAAATTAATAAGCGACTTACATTTGCAAAAATTTCATAATTTAAATGTAATTTATAATACTAATACTTATAATTATAATATGTAAAATGGATTTAAATCTGGAAAAGCTAAAAAAATGAAATAAAAATACTAAATGTGATATACCAATTTATTATAAATTTAACTAAAAAGGTTATTTTATAGAATATTTTGTTTTTTTTAAAAAGATAAATTATCATTATTTATTATAATATAGAAATATATATAGATATAAATATATATATATATATATATATATATATATATATATATTTTAATTTATTTACCTTTTTTTTTATTTTTATTTAGACTAATAATTTTTTTTATTTAAAATTTTATCTATATTATATCTATAAATAGACTCTTAGATTTATATATTTTTTTAAAAAAATAACATATTCAAATAAATATATAAAATTTATCTAATAATAAACAAAATAATTTACTCAACCTATATAAATTTAAAATCATTTACAACATTTTTAATTTTAATGATTTTTTTATTTGACCTTATTCAGTTCATAGCTTTATCTATAATTATTTTTATTTTATATAATTTCTTATCTAGATTAATTTTCATTTTCCTTAATTTCATTTTCAAACCATTTTTTTTTAATTTATCTTGCTAAATATTCGAAAGTTTTATTTACATTACTTCCATCAAAAGCGCTTGCTTCGAAATATTAAATATTTTTATTTTTACAATATTATTCTATATTTTCTTATAAAACTTATCTTTATTATTTCTAATCTGACTTATTTCCCACAAGAATTATACAAGCATCCTCTTATTTTTCTTTGCATAATTAAAACCATGTATTTTATATTGATTCAAAGGATTATTTATTACATAAATCAAAAACAAAATATATTCCATGTGTACCTTTAAAATAATTACTTATTAATGATCTATATCTTTCCTATCCAGCAGTATCCCATATATGTAATTTAATCAATTCTCCATCTATTATGAAATTTTTTATTTTAAAATCTACCATAGTTACCTTCATTTTTTTTTAAAAAATTATTTTTAGTTAATATAAAAAATTAATTGATTTTTTACATATATCCATTTACTTTTAAATCAGAAACATCATCAGGAAAATAGCCTTCTATATATTACCAAAAAAGAGTTGTTTTTCCTACATTACTATCTCCAGCTATTACAATTTTAAATTTATTATCATTTTATTTCGTTAATATATTATCGTTTTTTTCTCTTTCATTCATTATTTGTTTATTAATTTAAAATAATAAGAACAAGTTTTTAATTTTATATATTTTATTTATTTAAAAAAAAATGAAGGTTTATTTTGTTATACTTTCTTTTAATTTATATATTTTATAAATAATATAAACTTTAAAAATGTTTTTATTATAAATAATGTAAAGCATTTTATATTAGATAAAATATTATATCTATATAATTAATATATGATATTTTTTATATATATTATATTAAATGTATTTTTTATGTTTAAGATATGCTCACTATTTATTCATTTTAAAAATATATAAAAATAAAATAATAATGAATTTAATATTTTTAATAAAAAAATAGAGAATAGAATAAATAAAATTACATAAAAAAAAAATATATATATATATAAATAATATTTATTATTAAATTCTTTTTTTTTTTTTTATAAAAAAAAAAAATATGTTAATAATAAATAATTGGAGTTACATAAATATATATATATATATATACTTTCAAAATTAAATCCAAAATAATAAAATAAAACTAATCATTATTTTAAATTAGCTTTTTTCCCAAAAATAATATAATCTTCATTATATTTCTTATTTTTTTTTTAAACATTATGTTAGAATACACCATAATTAACTTATTTAGCTTTGAGTGTATTTTAACCTTTATAGAGATTAATTTTCGCATCAATTTACATAATAGAGTTCATATTAGTTTAATTTTTGATAGGTGGAAGGAACTAATGTTTATTTTTGCTATCAATATCTTCATCGGTTCCCGAATTATTATAATTTCCATCAATTTTTAAATTAACATTTAGAGAAGGATATTAGGAGTTAATTTTTTTATTTGACGCTTTCTTTTTATGATAAGGATTAGTCGCTTTTTTAATCGAAAGGACTGGATAAAAAACGTTTTCAGGTTAAGTGTTTATTTATTATTATTATTATTATTATTATTTAAGGGTTTAATTAAAATTAACATTAGAAACATTACTCCCTGCTAATTACTGAAATTATTATTTAAGTGAATTTTTATTATTGTCATTAACCATCTAAGATCCATCTAATTTCGTCTAAGAATTCACATTATTATTTCCAGAAATACTTTTAGACCCCAAAGCATTTTAAAAGATTGCATTTTCTTAATCCATTTAATATAAATCTTTAAAAAAAATATGCTTTAGTGCTTCTTCAGCCGTGATTCTTTCCTTCGGATCATAAATAAGTAACCTTTAAATTAAATCAATACATTCTTTAGGAATATGAGGCGCTAATTTTTCAATACCAGTCCCTTTTTTCAAAGGGAAATTAAACTCCATATGAGTCGCATGTTTTTAAAATTCCTCCAAAATCTTCGAATTTGGTGTTCCTATAACATTATGGATTTTATGAACTTAATCTAATTCATCATTGCCCGGAAATAAGGGAAACAAACTCATCACTTCAAACATTACACAACCTACACCCCATAAATCCATTTTGCTAGTATAATATCCATCTGTAAGTAAACATTCTGGTGCTCTATACCATCTTGTACTTATGTATTCTGTATAAGGATGTTCCGAATATATACCTTTACATGAACCGAAATCTGCTAATTTTATATGGTCGCCTAATAATAGGATGTTTTCTGGTTTTATATCTCGATGAAATATTCCTTTTTTATGTAAGTGATCTATTGCTATTAATAGTTAGTACATATAAAATTTAGCCTTTTTATATTTTATTTTTTGTTTTGTTTTGTTTTTTTTACTTTTTAAGGATTTAAGTATTATTTACGACCTCTTATAGCCTCGTATAAATTCTAATCCATCAATTCAAATACTAAAGCTAATCTACCGGTTGGCTCATCATAGAGAACTTCAATTAATTTAACTATATGTTAATGTGGCGATAATTTTTTTAAAGCCTAAATCTCTTTTAAACGTTATACTTATTCTATTGAATTAAAATGATTTTTCATGCATTTTATTGCCACAAAGTTTCCCGTTTTTAATGATTGGGCTTTTAATACTTCTGAAAATGTACCTTCTCCTTTCTTACTAATCAGTTTATATTGATTCATTTAAATTTTTTTATAATATTTTTTTTTTTCTTTTTACTAATTTTAATTATATATTATAATATTGATTAAGTAAATAAAAAAGTTTTTTTTTTTTTAATTTTTTATTTTTTGCAAAAAATAAATAAAATAATACAAAAAAAATACTTTATATTTTTTTTTTTTTTAAATAAAACAAAAAAAACAACTAATTTTTGTTTATTAAAATATAAAATATATATATATAATCATAGTTCATTATCATATTAAAAACTAATAATTTTAAATGCTTTTTTAATATTTTAACTCAAAGCTAATTAAATCTAATATAATTATAAATCTTCAATATGATAAATGGAAACAAATGAATTCAGTTAATTTTTCTTAATCATATCATCACATAAACTAAAGAAATAAGCCGCATTTTCTCTATGATGATAAAGTTACATATCATCATATATTCTAGCTTATAAATAATATATATCCCTAATTTCTTACAAAGAATTTAAATTTATATACATTTCTAGAGATTTATTTAAATTAAACAACGCATTTTTTCTTAAATTCTCCAGATTTTCTTTAAAAAAAAAAATATATATATATATATTTTTTTTTCTTTTACAAATAAATAAAAAAAAAAAATACATTCTAATCCTTTATTTTATATAGAGGAAATTTTCAAAAGTAAAATAGCTTTCACATAAAAGAAAAAAGCTTAAGTTTTATGATTAAAATTACTTAACCCTTTATTTTCTAATTCTAATATTATAAAAAAAAGTAAAAAAAGAGAAAAAAAATAAAATAAACAAAATAATAAAATAGAGTAAAAAAATAAATAAACAAAATAAAAAAAACAAAAAAGAAAAAAGAAAAAAGGGAAAAAAAAATAAATAATAATAATACTTTAAATAATCTTTAGGGTCTAAAAAATATACCCTTACCTAATAAGCATCAAAACCTTATATAATTTCGCCAAAACTAAATACTCTAAAAGTCCAAAAGCTTTACTTTTCTTCACAATCTACTAAACTAAAGTAAAAACTTAAAAATAATCATTCATTTCAAACATAACTTTTAGCAAAAGTACTAAACTTTAAATAAGAAATTCTTTCATATATCCGAATTCAGTATTAAATTTGATATTATGTATAATACATTCATAGGCTTCTGTATATTTCCCTTCTTTTATTAAAATTTCTATATGAATTTATTAAATTTTTCCATGTAGTTGTTAATCGATTAAATTTTATTAAAATTCTCTTTTCATTAAACTCCACATTAATCTCGCAGCGGGAATTTCGTGTCTTAAAATGAACATTTTTGCGTTTGTATAATAAAAATAAAACTTAAAAAAAGGCTTTGTTAAATTATTCATTAATTAATATAATTTTTGTAACAATTAAACATTTTTCTCAATATCAAAATCTATTTATTTACTCACTATTTCGAATAAAAGTTCCATTATTTGATTACAACTTAATATTTAAGCATTTTATTCGAATATATTATTCACTAATAAATCTATTAGACCAGGTTAGTTTAAACAATCAAAAATATAACACTTAATGAGAGCTTCTAAAGCCCGAGGAAGTTATAAAAGTACTTATTTTGGCTGTTTTCTACCAGGAAGAAGGTAGTTTTCATAATTTTAAATTATTTTTTTAATTGAAAAATGCATTTAATCAGTCCATTTATTATTATTTTATTTCAAAGAACTTCCATTCTTTGGACTTATATCATATATTTTAGAAAATTTTGCATAAGAAAGACAAGAAAAAAGCATCAATTAAGGATTTTGAGAAATATTTTAAGAGTGCTAAATTGCATGTTCAGTAAGCCATAAAGTATCCTAATAATGACCTAAAGTAGAAGCCATTTCATACAAATAAATAATACAATGGTTTATACTTTCATCATCTTAATTATTTTATGAAATTCGCATTGCTTCGCTCAAAGAACGTAGACTTTCATCTATAAATCCCATTTTTAAATTTAAATAAGCCAAATTTAATATACAATGATTTACTTTACTTTAATGATATGAAGCCTATGGTTCATTCTTTTATATAAATAATATAAATAAATAAATACATATATATATATATATATATATATATATATATATATATATATATATATATTTACTTATTTATCTACAAAAAATAACATTTCTAATTGCTTATCAAAATATTTATATAAATGATCAAATGCTGATAAAGGAAGATTATTTCTGCCTTCATTTTAGGCTTTCAAAAGATTTATTTTGTCAATTTATCTACCTTATTCTAAACTAGTTATCTAATCTTGAATTTCTTGAAAACTATAGCAATTATTATAATCTTTTTTATGTTTTTTAAAAAAAAAAATTAATAAATTATTATTATATATCTTTTTTTATATTTACGTTATATTTTTTATTCTAAATCTTCTATTTTTTTGTCTATTAAATATATATTTTAGATTTAATTATTTTTATTTTCTCCTTTTTTAAAGTTCGAAAAATTCTAATGTAATTACACTAATTCACTGAAACCACATTTACTAAAATTTAATAAGCATCTTCTTAAAAACATATCTATTACATTTCCCTATTCTATTTTGCTATTTCTTATTGATCTGAGATGTTTTAGTGCTTTTTTTGTTAAAAATAAAATAATATTTATTTTATTTTTTTTAAAAAAAATTAACTTTATTATATGTATTTAAATAAATCATGTATTGTTTATATGCTTCTAACCTTATTTTTTTAGAATTTTCGAAATATAATATTTTTTAAAGTTACTTAATCTATATATCTTTCACTTATTTCAAAGTTTTGAGATTCCTTAATCATTTTTTTGAAAAATTATTCACTACTTTATGATTCTTCTTCTTGATTTAATTTCTTTTAAATAAATTATTTTAAGTAAAAAACAATAAGTACCATTATTTTATTTATAAAAAATTGGCAAAAGGTGTTGATGTATCTAATTTATTTGATAAATTAGAGTATTCATTCAAAACTATAATGCATGAAATTGTATTTGGTGATAAAAATTCTACTCCTTTATTCATATTTTATGCTTTATTTTATTAAAAATAATATTTTCAAATATTATAAAGTATTTTTTGTTTGATATGAAAAAAAAAAAAATTAAAATATTTTTATAAAATATATATAATATTTAAAAACTTCTTATTAAAAATTATTAAATTTAATAATATTTTTAAAAACAAAATAATAAATTTTTTTAAGACAATATTTAATACATAAATCTTTACATAATATATGCTGCATTTTATATATTTTAAACTAGTATTTATCCCATAAATTTATTAAATTTGTTCTTATTAAATATTTAAATGAACGTTTGATATAATGTTAAACTTATAGTATATTATCATTGTCTATATAAGTGTACTTTTTTTGAATAAATAATCGATTTTTCTTATTTTTATTATCTATTTGATTGTTTTAAATATTATTTAATTAAAATTTAAAAATGAATTGGAAATTATCACTCTTTTATTTTATTACTTTACTTTAATAATTTTATATTTATTTCAATTATAGAAATCAATTAGAACCATATATATAAAGTTACTAATGTATTTGTTTTGATATTAATATTCATGATTTTATTTTAAAGCATAAATTTCATAAATTCATATTTATTCATTTTTCAATATACTTTCTTTACTAAAGTATAACATACGATTAAAAATGCATGAAAGTAAAAACTATAAAGAATTTAAAAATACTAAACATATATATATATATAAATATAATCTTCAAAGTTAATATAATGTATTTAATATGTAAATTTTGACGCGCATTATTTTACTCTTTAATCTCTCTTAAAATATTAAAATATAAATTCAATATAGTTTTACATTTATAAATAAAAGAGAGTGAGAAAAAAAATTAAAATGGACTTTTTTGTGTGTAAATATTTGAATTTAGAAAACAATTAATAATTTTATAATTAAATTTAATTATGACCTATAAAAAAATAAGACTTTTTATCTGCTCTTTTTATTCTTTTTTAATTTATTTTTTGATTGAATTTTTTAAAATATAATTATAGCAAAAATAAAAAAACCTCAATAAATATAGTAATTTCTAATTCAATATACTTAATAAAATATTAATTTTGAAATTAACTATTTATCATTTTAATTTATAATTATTTAACATAAAACTAACTTTGAGGTAATTTATAAACAGAAGAAAATAATTTTTATAATAATAGACATAAGTTATATACAAGCTTTAAATGAATAGAAAGGTCTTTCTCGTTAAAATAACCATCTTAAATAAATTTATATATGTATTAAATGCAAAAATAATATACAATATCATTGAGGAGATAATCTAAATAAAGATTATTTGAGATAAAATATGTTTATTGATAAATAATATTCTGTACAAATATGCTTTATTAATATATAAGAAAAAAATTTAAAAATGAAAAATGTTAATTCCAGTTATAAAGACACAATAAATATTATACTTATGAGTTTATATTAATAAGTAAGTTCAATTACGACAATTTAAAATACAGTTTAGAAATTAATAATAAAATAATAATAATAAAAAAAATAAATATATATATATATATATATATATATAATTATCTTTTAAAATAATATTATTTAAAAATAAATATATTAAGAACGAGAATTATTAATATATATTATTATAAATATTTTATTTCTTTTTTATATATATTAATATGTTCCTAATTTTTTTTTTATATTCGAATAATTCCTTATTATGTAAATATTAACTTTTATATTATTGCAGATTCAAATTAAATTAAGTAAATAATTTAAACAAATAATTAATTAAGATTTTTCAAAAATTAATAATAGATTAGTATTTATTTATATTTAATTTATTTTTTATTCTTTTATTCTTTTTTTAATAATTATTATAATCTTTTTTATTTTCTCAAATATAAAAGAATTATGTTTTTAAATAATATTAATTATTTTTTTTTCTTTTAAAAGGATTATTTCATATAGTTTTCAATCTAATATTATCAAAAAATTTACTTTCTAATCGATTTCAACTTTAAATAATATTAAAATGTGTTTATGATCATATATTTCTATATTTCTTTTATTTAAAAATAAATTTAGCTCTTTTATTAAAAATGATAAAAATCACAATTTAAAATAAAAAATATGATTATTACTTTACTAAATTTATTTTTATTTTATTTTTTTAAAAACGTAAAAAAACGTATTATGCCCTTTTTAAGTTTTTAAACAAAAAACTTCAGAAAAAAATAAAAATTTAACATACAAAAATATAATATTTAATTATTAGATGTTAATTCAATATTATTTATCGAAAATGATTAAAATATATCTTATAATTATTATAATAAATATTTTATTTATAATTAAATGTGACTTATATAATGAAAAATTTTTTTTTAGCTTTTTTGGTCTATTTTATTAATATTTAACCAAAATATATAAAGCTATTATTAATAATTAAAATTTTTTAATATTTTTAATTTTTTTTTCTTTTTTTCTTTAACTTCTATATTAAAATAAGATAATAATTCTAATAGTAATCATTATTTTATTTACTATTTTAAAAAAAGAAAGAAAATATTTTTTACAATAAGTTTATTTTAATAAAAAAACTGTATTCCTAATATTTAATTTATTTAAATTAAAAAAATCAAATTATATGATTTTTTTTTTTTTTTTAAATATATATTTTTTATTAAATAAAGTAAAGCAATTTAATAAAAGTTAACGAAGATAATATATATAAAAAGCAATAACCGAATCAGAATAAAATAACTATTGATACATAAATATAGTTGGTTTAGTTTATTTTTAACCTTTAATAAAAACCAAATAAAAAAAATAATAAATAGATTATATTTTTTCCATAATAAAATAATTTTATAATAAATTGAGCCTTATATTTTTTATGTTGAAATATCTAATTTAATAAAAAAATATAAAATAAATGTTTACTATTATATTTTTATGATTTAAAATAATTTAATTATTTAATATAAAAAAATCTTATACAAAAGCAAATTAAATCTTATATAACAATATACTTTTTATTTATTAATGATTATATAATTATTTTTATGTAAAAATTTAGTATTAAAAATATTTTTAATAAATAAATATACCATATAAACAATTATATTTTATTTCTTTCATCTTCCAATATCCATAATTTTTTTGAGTAAAAAAAAAGTCATTTAATCTAAAATAAATAAATAATGATAAAAAAAATAAAATTAACCTTCAGTTAGTCTTTTATAAGGAATTATTTAAATGGCTTTTTTGATAGTAAGATATTCTTATTTTAGTTTTTTCATATAAATACCAATAATAAGTATAAAAAGAAGTACATAAAAAATACTTCCAAGAATCAAAATTAATTATAAAGTAAGTACAAACTCATCTTTAATTCTTATATTTTCATCTTCAAAAAAGCTTATAATTGTTCTTAAAAAAAAAACTATTAATTACATTTATATCAAACTTTCTTAATATTCTTTAGAAGCAACTAATTTATCAAAATCTTAAGTTAGTATTTATATTTAAACTAAATTAAAAATTGTTTTAATGGAATTAATTAATCCTCTATTAAGTAAGCCTTCCATATTTTTTTAACAAATATCTTTATATTCTTTTTATAATATATCTAAATTACATGTTTCTTATGTACTTAAACTATAGAGTTTATTTTTGAAATATTCTCCTTCACTACTTAAAGCTATATTTAAATATTTTTCTGTGAAAAAATTTCTTGATTATTCTAAAAGACTGTCTCTTAAAGTTATAAGTTCATTTTATTTGATATTTTTTATATACTAAATATTTAAAGTCTTTTTAAATAAATTATTCAAAATGATTATATTATGAGATGATTGCATAGCCGAAAACTACAAACAAGCCTCTACATAATTCTTATAATTTTCAGCTGGGATACCAAATTTATTCGAGAATTGATCCATATAAATAAAAATCTATATGAAAAAAAAATAACATAAATAAATAAATAAAAAATACAATCAAAAAAAAAGCAGTAGATAATATACATAATATCATAAGAATAATAATGAAATTCAAAAACTTTAATTCTTAATTAGAAATACGATCATATAAATAATTTTATTTTTAATTTTTAGTTTTCTTTCTATTTCTTTAAGAACTAACTTTTATCTAATTTTCTGACTATTCCCTTAAAGCCAAATTCGAAAAATCTAAATGCAAATACTCATCATCATCAGAAAACAGTTTTTTTCCAATAACCTTTAAATTTTCAATAATCTCAAAAGTCTCTTCCTCTTTCATTCTACTCACAATCATTAAAATTCTTTAAGAATTAAACTTGAGTGTCCTATAAGAAGGATATAAGAATCCAAAAGATAAAATAATAAGAAAAATAGCCAATATAACACTAAATTAATTAATATAAATAATATTTTCTTTTAAAACATCAATATCATTATTTACTTCTATTTATGATTAATGGATAAGTTAGTATAAACTTTTCAAGTTATTAGTCATTAAAAATCTTTATACATTTTTTTCATTTAAAATTTTTTAATTTCCTTAGAGTGTAAGTTAATAAATACTTTCCCCAATTTTCTTCAAAAACTCCGTATAATGTATTTCAGTTTAAACTTCTTATCCATCAGAAATTAAAACAGCATTCAAAACAAAATTAAATATAGAAGTCTAATAACTATACTATATTTATTTTCCTATAAGCTTATATAACGTGCCAATATAATCATAATAATTAATATTAATTTACTCTTATAAAAATTTCTCAATATTCTACTCGTACTATACTCCTTAATTTAAATTATTAATACAAATCAAATCCGTAGAAATAAGTGTTTAAGAAATCGGTAAAAGTAATTTAGCACATCTTCCCATCTCATTAAGTCCTACAGTATAATCATTAAAATTTTAAGAAGTAGTAATAACAAGTACAATAACAACAGTGATAAAAACTGCAAATTAAAACAAGAAGACAGTATATAATAAAAGCATAAAAGCAGGTGTTTCCTAATTTGAAGTATTTAAAATAATGCTTTTTAATATCATATTAGTAGACGAGTTTACAGAATTCGATTAAGAACTTTACTCATAGTTTTGATTATTATTTGCCTTTTTGAAATGTTATGCAATATCTTCCTTTTCATTATTTTCCGAAAGCTTTACAGATTCTTTACTTTTATTTAAATCATAATTTTCTTTCGAATCTTTAATTTTGTTTGAATTATTTATACTTACATCACTTGTCTATAAATTCTGAATGGCTTTCTTACCTAATTATTATACTGCAGACATTACATTTTTTTAATTTATATTTTCATGTAAAAAAGCATTTGTAGGTGTTGTTTCATTATTCGAATATGTTATTAAAGTGTTATTTTCTGGATAGCTTTAAAGTACTTAATTAAATTCTTTTTCCGTATTATTTTGAGCGTTTTATTTTTGATCAATTTCATAAACTATTTGCGAAGTTTAAAGAAGATTTTCATTTTCTCCTTAAAATTATTATTATATTTGTCTATCTATCTTTTTTTTTTTTTTATTGTTGTTGTTTTAATTAAAATATTTATTACGTTTTTACTTTTTTGATCTTCTTCTTCATCATCATCTTCTTCATCATCCTCTTCGTCTTTTTCTTCTATTGCTTCTTGATTAGTATCTTTTGAATATATTGTGTTGCCACTACACAAAGAGTTTTATATATCGTCCCACTAAACGAAATTTTATATTTCTACATAAAAAAGAAGTCTTTTTTAACCTTCGAAATTAAAAATTTCATGATAGAAATTAAAAGTTATTTCATATTCTACTTCCTTCCCTTCATTTTTGACTCCACTTATAAAATTTTAAATGTTATTGGTCCATTCTTTTGTAAAAGATTACTAATTGAAATAATTAGAGTGGTGTTGGATGAAATAATTCCCTTATTTAATAATATCTATATTAAATAAAATATTATAATTAAATGTATTATATTTAAATAATAAAAGTACCTTTAGGTACTATTAATCTAAATTTTAAAAATGAATATTCTTCTTTTTTATTAAATTTCTATAAAAATTCCAAAAACTAAGGAACAAGTATAGAAAAATGGTATTTTTTTAAAAAATTAATATCAATATTTTCATATTTAATTAATTAACTGAAATTTTGGCTAATTCCTTCTATATAACCATTAGAATTTAAAATAATAAACATAAAATTAGAAGGCTATTTAACAATAAGAGCACTAAAAGCAAAATCATTTTATTTAATGAAATAGTAATTAACAAAGAGTTTCACTTTAAAAATATATCCCGTTTAATCTAAAGCAAACATTGGTCTAAAGTTTCTTACACTCTTTGCAATCCCTGTATTTACAAGTCTTTTTAAAAAATAATCATGCATTATACTTATACAATTTGGTATCAATTATTTGATATTTTCCTATTTATTATAAATGTCTTTTTTTTACTTTTATTTTTATTTTTTACTATCATTTAAAATTCATGCCTTCCATAAGAAAATATCTAAGGTATTTTTTCAGAAAACTTTAATATTTTTCCATTATTTTATAAACTTTAAAAACTGGCTACAATACTTCCTACATTTCCTTCGAGAATATTACAACTTGTAATTGTATTTATTGCATCTTATGCTTTGTCTTTTATTATTACATCTTCGAATTATTATTCTATTTCTTTACAACGTAAAGGATCGAATAATATATAAGCATTTAAAAGAGATTAGAATTTCAAAAAGTAAATATTACCTTTGTTTTTACTTATTTATTCTTAAACCATTTTTTCAAACACTTATACATATTATATAAATTCAAGTGTATCTATTCTCATTTTTTCTAAAGATTTAAAACTTTTAATCATCTTTTCAAAATATTCACATTTATCAAACACTAAATTTCCTTTAATATAAATAATAAAAAATAATAACTAATATGAAATTAATTTATTTTAATACCTAATAATTTTTTTAATTTATCTTTTATTGTTTCTGAACTAACCATTATATCAAATTTAGAATTATTTACAGCATCATATCTATCTTTTTAACTTTATATATATAAATTAATAAAAATATATATATATATATATATATATATATATATATGTATATACCTATATGAATAAAAATGTGCTTTATCTCTTTCTTTTATTCGATTTTCAATTAGATTTGTTAAACTTCTCTCAACTGTACAAAAAAACGAACTTTTATTTTTTAAAAGATTTGCCATTACTTTATTTTAATATAAGGCTTTAATTTAATTTTTCTTAAACTTTATTAAAAAAAACCAGTATCTCAAACAAACTTCCTATATTATTTTAAATAAAAAATTTATTAAAAAAAGTACTTCTGCTATTTAATATTAGTTCTTTCTCATTAAATCAGTGATTAATTTTTCGAATGAAAAATCAATATATTCCATAAACCATAATTCGAAAATTTCCATTTGTTAAGATAACCTTGGAAAATCTACACCTTTTACTTTGATATCTTTACCTAAATCAATAATCATTCCCCCAGAAATAGTAGGTTTCTCTTCACCTATATTTTGAAATTTTAATATAAATATATTTTTTAATTTATGACAGTATTAAATTTTTATATTGCATTCTTATTAATAAAATTATTATAAATTTATTAATTTTTAATAAAAATTATATACAAAAATAATGATGAGAATATTTTAAATGAGTTTATAATCATTTTAACTAAATGAAATATTTAAAAAAATGAAATAAAATTAAAAAAAAAATGTAAAAAATATAATAAATATAATAATATATATATATAATATATATATATATATATATATATATATATATATTTAACTTACCAGCTAATTCATTAAATTAATTATCTTTACACAGACATTTAATTACATTACATCCTTTTTTATGCAAAACTAAGGAACCGAACAAAGTAAGTTTAGACGAAGGAATAGTTAGATTTTATTCGTATAATTGACATAACTTTTCCAAATAAAGGCATGTAGATTTAGGTTGTTCTAATAGAAATAAAATATTTTATTATATGATAGATGTAAAAAAATTACCACTAAGTTTATTTGGATCAATACACATACTTTAAATAAATTTATTATTCCAAATAGTTTTCATAAACCCATAAGAAATAGTAGCGCAAAGAAACAAAAATATGCAAAAATTATAATCTGAAACAAATTAAGTATATTCCCTTAATAAAACAATAGTTACAAATATTTCAAAAACAATAATAAGCCAACCATATAAATCTGATATATTTTTATCCATTAAAGGAAAATGAATAAAATATTCACATAGTAAAAATATTGCAAAGAATTGACATATAAAAATCATTAAACTAATTTTTTAATTATAAGACATTAATACAATTGATATTTCTAAAATAGGCTCTATTAATTTAAATTTGCTATATCTTGATTTTAATTGATTTACAGAATTTAATTCTTGTTTTTTTTTTTTATAATAATAATAATTATTATATTAATTTAATTTTAAATACCTGGATTATGATATATTAATATTACTATAACATTTAAAATTATTGTAGTAATTATTAATATTGATGCTAAGACAATATTTATGTATTAAATTGATTAATTTGAACGAAAATCAATATTTTTTTAGCATCTTTTATTATTTTCCATATCAATACTTCCCCTACAAAATAACACACCAAAAATAATATCTAATTTTATCAAAGAAAATATCCATTTTTAATGTTCTAAATAAAATTATAAACTTCCAATTTAAAATCCGTTTTTTTTCATAATATCACAATCCTCTTATTTTTTATTTATATTAATTTTTTTTTTTTTTTTTACCTTTTATGTTTTAAAAACTTAAATTTAATGCTATGATTACTAAGCCAACTTCATATATGCATATAACGTATAATATAATAAAAGCTAAAAATTCACTTTAAATATTTCCTGCTAAAGGAGTTAATCTTAAATACTCATTCAAACTAAATAGATATTACAAATATTAATCGATTACAAGTTTATCACTTAACGATACGAGGAAACCACATATTTATGCAAAATATATTGTTACTAAAATGCAATAATACATACGAGTTCTATTTCTTTCACTATCTTTTAAAAACATTAACAAAAATAAATTTGATAATGCATCATATAATATATCCGAGATAGGTCTTTTTACATCAACTTCTCTGATTTTTTTCATTTTAATATTTTTTTTATAAAAAGAATTATTTTTAATTTTAAGAAATATGAATTTTTAATAAAAATATAATTTTTTGTTTGTTTATTAAATAATTTTTATTGTGTTATTATTATATATAAATTCAAAAGTAAAATAGTTTAATTTTTTTTTTTTTCCCTTTTTATAAGTTTTATGTGTGTTTGTGTGTGTGTGTGTGTATGTGTTTTTTTTTTTAAAAAATAAATAAATAAATTTTTTAAAATAAAAATTTAAATATTTTTTTTTTGTTAGAAAAAAAAAAAAAAAAAAAACTTTAAATTTAAAATAATTAATTAAAGGACATTAAATTATATTGAATTTTATAAAAAATAAAATAAAAAAATAATAATAAATTTAAAATTATTTTATTTAATAATTTAAAGAGAAAATTTGGAATAATAGTTATTATTTAAAACAAAAAAATTTTCAAAAATAATTTGGATATACTATAGTTTAAATATTTGAATTTTGATAATTAACTTCATCATTTAATTTATTAAAAAATTAATTTTTCGAAGTATTTTCTTTAATAATATCTTCTAAATTAATATAAATTTCATTCATTTATTATTTAATTTTATTAATTAAGTCTTTATTTTATTAATATTTCTTTTCATAAATCATTATTTATTTTTCTTAATTTATTTAAGCTTATTTTTATCTATGTTTATATTCATTAATAATATTATCACAATTAATTTTATATTCATTAATTTGATTTTATTTTTGATTTTTATAACACTAGAAATTATTGATTTCCTATTTAATCCTTATAATCTCATATTAAAGCGATTCTTTCAATGTTATCTCTTCTTTAATTAAAACTGGTTTTTCTACAAACATAGGAACTTCAATCAAAACTGGTGTTTCAACTACATTTTCAATTATTCTAACCTTTTAATCTTTAATTTCCATATCTAATTTATACTAAAGATTTTTAATCTTTTTTTTTTTAATATATTTTTGGTTTAAACATAAAATAAAAAATATATACATACCTTTTAGTCTTTTTTTTGAATTTTCTATTAAATATCAAAATAATTTATAGTTTTATCTTCTAAAATTTTATTTTAAATAGTTAATTCGTTAATTTGATTTTTAATATTCAATTTTTCTTTTTTTAATTAATCAATTCTAATTTCTTTTTCTTTAAATAAATTATTTATATTCATATTTTTCCCAAACTCTGATTTATATTAATTATTCCCGTTTTCATTTTCTAAATCTAATTATTTAAGTAATTACATTTTTTATTATCTTATTAATTCGACTCTTTTTTCCGATTAAGTAATCTCATTCTAGATATCTTTGATTTAACTTGAAATTTTATCCTACTCTTAAAGATTCTATTATATATCTTATTCATAAAAGTGACATCCTTATTTATTGAATTTATTTATTAATGTAATTAATTCAAAAAAGCATATAATTAATTAACTTTGCTTTTATGATTATTTATCTAAATATTTACATGTGCGAACTATATTTCGGAATCGTGTTTTACTTTCTCGAATTCTTGTTGAACTTCCAAATAATTTTATTTTATCATAATATATCTTTCCTAAATGAGTTTTAATTCATCTGCTTATTATTTTAATGTATCATTGGAAAGCTTTATTGCTTAATTTGCTTTATTAGTTAATATATTAATATTTTTTTTCTCAGTTTTATATCTTTCATATTTTTCTTGTTATTCCTTTTAGTATAATTATTATTCCTTTTTTTATATTTTTTAATTTAATTCATACAAATAAACTTTTAAATCGAATTTCTTCTTTTAAAATTTGTGACGATTTTATTATTCTTTTTCTTTTGTTTTTTCATTTATTTATTATATTTGATTATCTATTTAATTTTTTTCAATTATAATGTTTTCTGTTTCTTATTTATTTGTTTTTAATTTATTTTCTAATTATTTCTTCTTATTTTTTAAAATATCAACATGTTCTTTTGTCTTTTATTCCATTTATGACACTTCTACAAATGTTTTACTTGGTTCTACTTTTATTTAATCGAATCCTACTTAATTAGTTTACAGTTTATGATTAATTGATTATATATACATTTATTTTTTGTAATTTATTTATAAATATATATATTTTTAAAATCATAAATTCTTTTAAAAAAAAATTTAAAAATATTTATAATTGATATGTATTTTTTCAATATAAATAGTTTTTATTTAATAAAACATTCTTTTATTAATTCATTTTTAATTAAAAATATAAAATCAAATAAATATATATTAATTTAATATAAACTTTCATATATAAAGAAAAAAGAAAGAATTCATTTATTTAAAAAGTAACAAAAAATTAAATTCTTTTAATATAATTTTAATTTAAATGAAAAATTCTACACTACTATTCAAAAAACAATTAATTAAAATAATAATATTTACATTGTAAGAACATTTTTGATTAAATAAATTTATATTAGATTTCATTCAATTTTATAAAAATCATTAAATATAATATACTATATAAAAAATTACTTAATTTATATAAAAAAAATTAATTATATTATAAAAAACAAATAAAAAGGAATCATTTTAAATCTCATTTAAGTTTTCGAAAAAAAAATAAAAACAATTTTATATAATTAAAGATTTAAATATATTTAATATAATATAAAATCAAAATTTGAATAAATAAAAAATATTTTATTATTTAAAATAAATAAAGTATAAGTAGTAAATTGTAATGGAAAAATGCTTTATTAAAAAAAAATAAACTGAAAAATATAAAATAATATTAAATTTTATTTAGAAAAAAATATTTTTTAGTTTATAATGATAATTCTAACAATTAAAAGTAAAGTTAGTAAACAAAAAATACATAGTAGCATTTAATTAAAAGACGAAAATTAATTCAGAAGATTTTTAAAGCAATTAATAAAAATTAAAGTGTTTAAAAAATAAATATTGATAAACCAAAAAGAATTATAAATAGAATCAAAATAATAAAACAGATTTTAAAATATAAAAAAGATATATATAAATACAATATTTAATAAAATATACAACTAAACTATATATAAATAAAATAGAATTTATAAATAATAAAATTTTTTATTTTTAATTAGAATGAATCAATATAGATATCTATATAAGTATTATATATATTTTTATCAAAATATCATTTTCTTTATTTTATATATATTAATAGTTATAATTATTATTGTTTTAATTACAAATATTTGTTATATAATTAAATTATATATATATTAGTTATTTTTTTTAATATTTATATTAAATTAAATTATTAATAAACATTAAAATTTTTTTTTATTTTTTTATAAAAATAAAACTTTTTTCTAATATTCTTTTATTCATTTTTTTATGAATATCTATCTATTTATCTATATTTTCATTCTTTTATTTGTATATATTATTTCATTTGAAGTCTATATGTTTATAAATTTTATTGTCATTTAATATAATTATTAAAATATTTTTTTTTTTTATATTTCTTTAAAATTATTATGTATTTAAAATTATTCTTCCATTAATGTTTATTTATATATTTCGAAATTTAATCATAATTATATATAAAAAGAGCATAAAGCAAATGTTTATTATCTAAATTTTAAATAATTTTAAGTATGATTGATTTTAATAATAAGTTTTAATTAAATATATTTGAATATTATAATGTTAAGTCACAAAATAATTATATAATAAATTAATTTTTCTTAAACTTTTATAATGTATATATTATAAACTATTATTTTATTTAAAATAATATATTTTATAAAATTCTTTTCATTGAAATTTTATATGAAATTTTTAAACAATATTTTATTCTCAGATTTATTTTTCTATTTATATTTATCTATAATTTTATATAAAATATATAATTTTATGCTAGAATAATATATAAAGTAGTAAATATGTTTTAAAAAATAGAAGCAAATATATATTTTAGATATTAAAATAATAATTATACAAAAATTAAATATAAATCCAATATTTATTTGTATTTCAAATATTAATAATTTATTATAATTAATCTTTTATTTTCATTAAATTATTATGAAAAACATTAAGTTCAACAGAATTTAATTAAAAATTAACAGTTTTCATTTCATTTTTAATCCCTTAAGTTTCTAACTAAACAAACATAACAGGACGATTAATTTTTTAGTTATTATGCGTTGCCACTTAAAGATCTATTCGCCAATCAATATCAATTAATGTATCTCCTTACTAAATGCTACTATTCATATTTTTACGCCAAACTTTTAATTTTATTTTTATTTTAAATTTATTTATTTATGTTTTACTATCACCGTAAGATTCAAACATTTCCACGAGCATATTTTTTAGTTATTCATGAAAATCTAAGGGAAAAATATTTGCTATATTTTTAAAATTATTTTATGCAGCTTTTTCTAATAATTTAACTAAAGAAACTAACATCTTTAATATAAAAAGATAAAAATAAATATATATAAATATATAAGTATATGTATATATATATATATATATATATATATATATATATATATATATATATATAGAATATTAATATTTTACCTTATGACATTATTCTTCTGATAAATTTAAATCTAAATAAAATTATTATGATACTGGAGTTTAATAATTATCATTATATGAATTCAATTTATTTCTTATAATAAATGCAAATTCTATTATTTTTCTTAGATATTTTTTTGATGGACATTTTTCTAATTATACTAATATTTGCCAATCTATATCTTCTGTTTACATAATTTATTATAATTTTTTTTTTTTTTTTTCCTTTTAAAAGAAAAATATATATTTTTTATCTTTTTTTTTTGTTTATTTATATATTAAAAAAGAACTAAAAAGTAAAATAAAATGTTATAATTATCTTTTTTATATTAAAGGAGAAAAAAAAAAAAGCAAAACAAAAAAATAATAAAAAATATGAATAAATAGTTTCCTTTTTCTTATTAATCAAAATACAATTCTTTATTATTCAACTTTAATACCACAATTTCTTAAAGATTTAATTACAAGTTCTTCATATTCTTCCAAAGATACGGTTCCATCTTAGTTTGTATCTCCCATTTACATCCAAATTCTTACGTCTTCCCCACTTGGTGCATAATTTTTCATTCCCATTTCTGCATAAGTATCTCTCAAAAGTCCAACAATTTCATTATCATTTAAATATCCACTTCCATCACTATCATATTTTTTAAACAATCTTCTAGCCTAAGTTTATTATATAAATTACATAAATAAAATAAATAGCAAAAATATTTACAATATCTAATTTACTCTCAACTTCTTAAGTATATTAAGGTTTATTAGCTCTTTTAACTTTTTCTATTTAAATATTTTATTTAACTTATCCCTATTATTATTGTCCGCATAAATATCTAATACAAAGATCTTCAATATCTTAATAAGTAACAATTCCATCTCCGTTTCTGTCTAAAACTCTATGATATGACTTTATATCATCACTTGAAGGTGAGAAATATTAATTAAATGATTTATAAGCTTCTACAATCATAGGAACACAATCAACATTATCTAATCTTCCTTTTCTTCCTTTGTCATAATTATCGAAAAGCCTTCTAGCTACTGCTTTAGCGCCCTTTTTTGTTTATTTTGTTTTGTTTTCTTTTTTATAAATACTTCTAAATCTGTAAGACCTAAAGAAGTTGCATATCCAGATGAACGAAGTGTTTGAGAATTATAAGATTACATTTTTTTTTTATTTAATTTTTACTTTTATAATTATTTTATTTATATATAATTTTATTTTTGTCTTTTATTTTTATTTTAAATTTAAAAAATAAAAAATAATATATTGCTTAGTTTAAGTTGATAATATTATTATATATCTAAATAAATGATTTATGTAATATATAATTTTATATAGTATTTACCATATTAATAATATATAATTTATATGATATTAAAAGATTTCAAAATATATCATTATATTAATCTATAATTTTTAAATATATATTAAAATAGAAATTAAGCTATAAATTTAATAAAAATAAAAAAAATTAAACTAAATATTATTAAAAAATATAAAAATAATATTAAAATAAAATAAAAGTTAATAAAACATAAAAATATATAAATATAAAAATACATATATATAAATATATATATATACATATATATATATATATATATATATAAAATAAATAATAAAATTGAAAATATAATATAAATATCAAATTTCTTATTAAGTAACATACATAGTATATTTTGGATCATAATAATATTTAATATGAGAATGAGGTGAAGTCCCGTTAGCATTTTCAAGGAAAATATGCATAATATCCTAATTATCAACTAAGACTTTATTTTCAATAATACCTCCTTTTTCTAATTACTCAAGTTCAATAATATTTTATTTTTCATAATCTAATTTAAAAACTCTTTATGATTCTTTGGAAAATTTACTTAATCCTCCCAATATAAGTGCTTAATTATTCGCAACTCTGACTACCATAAACCTTCTCAGTGGAATAGGAATCTTAATATTTGTTAATTCAAACCTATTTTCATTAATAATATATCTTTCTATGTTATCTAAAGTACCTTTATCTTTATTATATCCTCCCAAAACTAAAATTTCGTTATCATTAATTCTACAGGCAGCAGCCTGGCTTCTAGAAATAACAAGATCGGCAATTTTCTGCCATTTTTCAGTTTATATATTATAAAATTCACATTAATTTAATTGGCTTTTTCCAAGAGAATCATATCCTCCAAAAATCCATACTTTATTATTATAATATACAGCAGCAACGAAGTTTTTTTCTGTCGAAATTTAATTCTTTGCCATAATAATTTTGCCCTAAGTAAAAATTCTAAAATTATTTCCTTATAAGCCTCCTAATAAATAATAGTATTTCGATTCTGGAATATAAACAACTGTAAAATGATAAGGAAAAGGATTTTGATCTGGATTTTAAGTGATTTTCCATTTTTATTTATGTAAAGAAAACTTTCCAATAGAATTTCCCCCGAATTCAAACCAATAGCAATTTTCATTTAAAATCAAAGTGCTTTCTTTATAGAATTATTCTTGATTTTCTTTATTTTTGATTTCTCTATTTAATTAAATTTAATTATTTTAAATATTATTATATTAACTTTATTATAAATTATTCTATTATTATTAGTTATTTAATTATATTGATATATTTTATGTCTACATTTATGATTATTATAAACTATTTTTACCAGTTTTAATATAATTATTATTAGAATTTTTATTTTATAATAAAGAATTATATTATTAATTGTACATTCTTATATATTTATTTAATTTCTTTTTCTTTCCATCATTTTTACTATCTATACTCTCCTTGTATTAATTTTCGTGTTCAATAAATAATTATTCGATTTCAACAAAGCTAGGCCTTGCACTTTCTTCAAATATTAGCATTAAGGCTATTATATTTACAAATTAATTTGAATATTTCTTCTCAAGTTCCTAAAGTGAATTTTTAGTTAATTATTCGCCATCTAATTCCGAAGTTTTATTATTAAAACCTGTTACTTCTTCAATTGCTGCTAATTAATAAATAACTAAACCACTTGAATAAACATCTGATTTATATATATTATGTTCCACATAACGTGAGTTTCCATCTATTACATGAGCTTTCCACTAAATAGGAGATAAATATTAAGGAGTACCTCTAATTGTAGCCATCTTTTTTTTTTTTATTTATTTAATAAATAGTAAACATAAAAAAAAAAAGAACTGTATATGTATTTTTCGACACATTTTAAGGATCATAAAAGTAATCTTTACTTTCTCCAAAATCAATTAATTTAATTTCACCGTTTTCCATTAAAAATATATTTGCAGGTTTAATATCTCTATGACATATTCCTTTTTATTTATTTAAATTTAATAATCATATTTATATTTTTAATTAAAATAATACCTTTTTGTTATAATAATGAACATGTTGAAATTAAAGAAAACATAATAATAAGTAATTCAGATTCTTTCCAATAAATATTTTATTTTTTCTTTTGTCTATAAATCATTTCTAAATTCAAACAAGTTTCAATATATTCGGTTATTAAACATAATCTATATGCTTAATATTATGTTTCAGAAAAATAATAGCCATAAAATTTCACTACATTAGGACAATTTTATACTTTTGATAATTAAACAGCTTCTTCTTTATATTCGTTTAGTTTTTCAAGAGTTTTAGCTTCAATTTCTTTTAGTGCATATATTTTTCCAGTTTATATATGTTAAACTTTAAATATTTTTGTATATTTTTTGCCGGAACCTAATAAATCTAATTTTTTAAAATCTTATTTGCGATACATTTTTAATTTTTATTATATATATTAAAAATTAATTTTTATAATATTTGTAAAAATAAAATAACGATAATATTATATTATAAATATAAAAATAATAATAAAATTAAATTTTAATAAAAAAAAGAATAATTTTAAATTAAATAAATATAAAAACAATTAAGTTAAAAAATAAAAAAAAATTATATTCGTATTATATATATATATATATATATATATATATATATATATATATATATATATATATAATATATATATATTTTATATATATATATATATTTTCTTATATTTTTCTTATTAAAATATATATAAATATTCAGTAAATAAATATAATAAAATTGAAAATTTATTATTTATTTAATTTCAATTTTTATTTTAATTATTTTGATATGATTTAATTTTTTAAGTGCATTAATTAGCTTTTAATACTAAAGAGTTTAGTCTATTTTATAAATCTGCAACTTTTTAATCAAAAAATTAAGAATCTTATTTAATTATAAAAAAATATATAAAATATTAATAAAAAATTACTGTTAACTTAAAATTTATTTATATTGTTTTATATTTTTTAAATATTTTACTGATTATTAATAATTTTAACTTTACTATTAGATAAATTATCATTTGGTTGAAAGTAATTTTTTTAATTATTAATATTACTTTTAAAAATTAAATCATTGGAATAATTATTTTTTATATTTTTTAATATTTACTATTTATAAGAAATTTTTTCTTATTTATAAATTTAATTTTTATTAAAAATATATTTATCGTTTTATTCAATATTATTTTAGGATAAACCATAGTTTTTATTCTATTTAATATTTTTATTTTTTTAGAAATTAAGATCTATATTATGTTTTTCATCTGATAAATAAGACATAGAATAATATTTCTATTTAGTTTCTCCAGTACGATTATCGTTTTTATTAACTTTTCGGTTTTTCATTGATGAATATCTATTATTTTCTTTAGTTTTTTGACTACTTTTTTACGTATTTTTTATTTCCTAATTGAATTCCTTTTGCTTTTCAAATTACGTAATTTCTGCCCGATTATATTCTTATGATTTTATTAAATTGTTTGACTAATACTTTTTTTTATTAAAATTACTAGAGGGTGTATAATAAATTAATTATTATGTTTAAGGCTATAATATATATAATATATATAATTAATTAATTATTTTAATATTATTAAATATTTTTTTTTTTAAATAAATTAATGTTTTTTTTTTTTTTTACATTATTTTTATGCCCATTATTTTATGAAAATTCATCTGTGTTAAGTCTTATATTTAACTATTTATATTTATTAATGTTCTATACAATTGTTTATTATGATTAACGATTACTACTCAAGCTTCTTACACTTTAATGTTTGCTTTATTATTTTTATTATTAAAATTTTTTTAACATTTCATTTTCTATCAATTTAAATCTTATTTTTATATTAATATTTTTCTTTTTTAAAATATAATATTACCTTTCTTCATATAATTTAGCAGCATCTTCATCATTTAATTAACTAAATCTAATATTATTTTAATATTAAAGATTAGTTTGTAGGTCTAACTCCATGTTAAATTATAATTTAGAAAATAAATAAATGCTTTTTATTGTAATAAATAAAAAATATAAAATTTGATATTTTAAGAAATAATTAATATAAAATAAATATTATAAAATAGATAATTTATTTTATTATATATCTATGTATTTTATTTTTTAAAATATAACTTATTATAAAATTTTAATTTGTTTTTATTATTTTTACTTAAATTTTTTTTTTTTTTTTTTTTTTTTTTTATTAATTCATTATAATTAAAATAGTTTTATACTAAGTAAGTTAAATAATAAAAAAAAATAAAAATAAAAAAAAAATATTTTAAATCTTTTTCATTTTTTTTTTTTTAACAAAAAAAAATAATCAATCTAACATATTTTTATTGATTTTTTCTGAAGTAAATTTAATTATTCGTTTTTCAGTCCCAAAACCATTCGATTACTAAATTTATTATTAATCAATTAAATTTCTTTACTAATATTTATTTATAGTAAAATTTATTAAAATTTAATTTTAAAATTAATTATAAAAATTTGTTACTTATTTATTCATATATAAATTTTTATTTTATCTTTATTATAAATCATTATTTTAAGTTTCATTATTATTTTTAAAACTCTAGTTTCTATTAAAGTCTTTTGATAATGAGCGAATCTTAAAAAATTAAATTATAATTAGTTAAACTTTAGAATACCTTAAAATTGTATATTTATCTATTTCCATATTAGCCAGGCCCAGGTATAGATTAGTCTTTATTAATATAAGAATATACTCTTTCTCCGGGTACTATTTTTATACATGGAATAGGATTTTTATTTTCTAAAACATATTAACCTGGTCCCTTTATTAAAAAAGCATTTTAAAATAGAATGTAAAAAAAAAAAACATTTTATATTTAATAAATAATACTGGTAAAACATCTTTTTAAGGACTATAAGATCTAACAGCTTTTCCAATTTTAAAGCCAGTCTATCGTTTCTAAATTGGGTTTTTAGATATATTATAAGAACCGGGTCCAATGTTTTGAATAATAGTATTTTCTTTTATTTTAATTTTTTTGTTTTAAACTATAAAAAATATTACACTCTTTTTATTTAGAAATAGAAAAGGTTCTATTTTTTTAAATTGAAGAAGTATCAATAGGATATTAGCCAGGACCTAAATTATAATCTTTCTATGTATTTTCAGTAAAATAATCATCTTTCATCTTTAAACCAAAGCTATATTTTGGCGTAGATGATTAGTAATTAGATTTTACATATTTTCCTGGTCCAGGGGTATTTTAAATAATTAATTATCTTTATGGGGAAGTGGTTTTAATACTTTTTTAATTATAAAATCAATTTTGTTGTTGTAAAAAATAAATAAATATTATTTACTTTGCTGATATTATTTATTTAAACATTTGAGTATTAACTTCATAATAACCAGGACCTGGACTTTCATTCTATTAAGATTATTTTTATTCGCTATTTGGTGATTTTTTTCTTTTTAACTCTGAATTTATTGTAGGCATTTTATATACTATATTGATAATCATAAATATTAAAAAAAGTATATATTTTTATTTTTATGTGACATTATGGTAGTTATTAATTAAATTTATTTTGTCTTTTTATTAATTTTTCTTAATTTTATTTATCTTCATTTTAGTCATCTTATATTTCTTCATTTTATGCTTATTATTATTCCCCTTATTCAATATCTTATTTTATAAAATTTATTTAAGATTTAATTAAATAGGAATTATTCCATAAATCCATTTATATTTAAATATTATTATTCTTTTTTTTTTTTATAAAAACACAAAAAAATTAAAATATATTTTATTATATTTATTTGTGGTTAAAACGAAAAATACGATATAAATAATAACAAATCATTTAATTTTTTATATTTTATCAATTTAACTATTTTTGTCAACAATATATTCAAAAATTTTTTTGTTAGACCAATATCCAGTACCTAATGTTGAAATGTATTTTCTATTGCATTTTTTTGATTTTATTTCAAATTAAACAGTAGAGTCTAATAATTTCTTTTTTATTCTTAAAACTTCATTTAATTCTATAATATAAGGCTTATCTTAACAAATAAGTCCATAAAAATTAAATTCAAATTACTAACTATTTGGTAAATAATTTATTGATTTTACATATCTTCTTCCCATTCTGTATGTAATTATAGCTCCTACAGTATTAAAAAAAGCTAATATGTAAGAAATTACGTATAATTTTTTTCTTTTTTCTTTATTTTCATATGTATCTTTTTATAATTTTTATAATTTTTTATCCAAAAAATATCCAAAATAGGCAAATGAAACTATTTTTTTTTTTAAAAAAAAAAGAAAAAATGAAAAAAATTGTTTTTTTTTTTTTAATAAAAATAAAAATATAAATTATTATTACTTAATGTAAATCCTAAAATTTAATATCTGCATGATTTAAAAAAAAAATTAGAAAAGCCATGTATTTTATATAAAAATACTTAATTTTGATTCTTTGCTAAATTTTGAAACTATTGAAATATTTGTTCATTGACTAATTTTTTGTTTTCATTTAAAAATTAAGTTAATTCTTGATTATTTTCTATATTTTTTGTTAAAAAAGTTCTCTTGTTAAAAGTAGACTATATAAAGTTTCTTTTAAAATTATTTAATGCAAACATCTTTTAATTTTTAATTTTTATAGATATTATAAATTTGTTATAATTAAATTTATAGATTGTATATAATTTAAATTTAGTTTAATAATTTTTAACTGAATATTTAATTATAAATAATATAATTTAATAATTTAAATATTTAATAATTTTTATATTTATTTGTTTTTAAATTAATATAAAATTAGTATATATTAATTATAATTAAATAATCAAAAAAAATATCTAATATTATAAATATATGGATACTTTGCTTTATTAAAAATTATAATTGACCTTATTTTATAATTAAAAATAATATAATATAATGTATTTATATTATTTTGTCTTTTTTTTTTGATATTTTTTTTTTTTTTCAAATAGTAATAAATTATTTAATAATAATATTTATTGATTAAAATTAAATTAAATTAAATTTAATAAAATAAAAATATCATTTAAATTAAAAAAGTAAAATTTTAAAAATAAAATAACAATATAAATATAAATATTATTATACAAATAAGTAAATTATTATAAAAAATAAATAAAAAAAATAAAAAACATATAAATGCTTTCTCAATAAGAAGAATTTAAATTTGATGAAGATTATTAAATTTCACATTACAATAAAAATAAAAAAGACGAATTCGTAGATACTTAAAACTAGTATTAAAGAGATAAAATACTAAAACAAACTCAAGATGAAAACAATCAATTAAAATATTAAGTTTATTTTTATTTAATTTAAATAAGAAATGAAATAAAAATTATTTAATAATAATAAATTTTAATTTTATTTTTATTTAAATAAGAAATACAAAAAAAATAAATTATTTAATATTAAAAGAAAATGATTATTTTAAATAAAATAATTAACAATCTTTATATTTTTTAAATAAAAAAAGATAAAAGTAAAAGAATAAAAATGGAACAAAGAAAAAGCTATTTTA